AGAAAACGCAACCCGCGGAGAGCGGGCAAGGAAAAACGCATTTTTCTTATCTCTCTACCTTTTTCACCTGGAAGAGAAAATTTTTTGTGGAAATATTACCATTTACGGTAGAAACAGGTGAGAAATTTTTCATGCCACAACTCGCAAAAAAGTGTCACATTTTTGTTAACTTTCGGCCTAAAAATTTGTGCCAGGCTTCATAAAAATATAAGCGCCGCTCTTTGAGCACTTCTCCTGTAAACTAATTATACCTAAGATCACCTCCCTTCTTATCTATCAGTAAAACTAAAAACAACACTAAATAAGTTGTTTTTACAACTCTCCGTGCAACGAATAATAGTGCGCAATTAGCTCCGCAAACCCCTTGTCCAACCCACTCTAATTAAACATTAGTGGCCCCATTTTAACCGGTGATTTTGATTGTCCCGGCCCACGCTCCAAACACATGCTCACAACAAGTTAATAATTGCCTTGCAAAGAGAGTAAAGAGTCAGACTTTTACACACAACTACCTCATCATTTTCCAGAGTAATCTCTGTCCCTTTACGTTTACTTTCGATGAATTTTGGTCATCATAGTATAATATAATAGCCCTTTTCGGCCAGACAGGAGATCGTAAACCGCCACTTTGTTTGCGCGTTACAATCCACACCGGAACTTCGTCAAGCCTCTCTATTATAAAGTATAATATCGATGTAGGGAACATATGGAAATGCATCAAAAGTATTTCCTCAAATTCCTGAGGCATTAAACTCGGCCAAAAATAACAAAACAGGTTTATTTCAGCGAGAAAAAACGGTAATTAATGCCTTGTGAAAGTACGCTTTGGTTATTTTGTACTTTGATTTTTGGGTTATCTTCAAGAATAGACGAGTAAAAATGGGCCGAAAAAGGGAATTTGATCGGAAAATGGAAAAGAAACGTGATATTTGTGAGATTTGATTGGTAATAAACTATAAACAAGGTTCACTTTGTAATTAATGTTGCAGAAATGGGACTGTAGATAGAAGAGGGTCAAGAAAAATTTATGAAAGGGATAGTGGTAAAATACGGCGCTTCAACAAAACTGACATTTTGTAGAAATAATTTTTTGAGAAAAATTTATCAGAAGTTGGTCATCTTCGAAGCTTTATAAAAGTCGTGACATAAAGCCCTACCATATGAAACATATATCAGTAGATAGCTTTTTCAGCCTTCTTTCAGATGCTCTGAACAGAAACTGCGAAGTTGTACCTCAACCTGTGAAAAACGCAAAACAAAAAAACAACAAAGTCATACTTCTAGACCTAATATCAACAGAGCAGATGCTCAAGGTGAGATTCCTTATTGTTAGATTTTAAATTGTAGCTCAGCTCATGAAGTAGTGTACTGCAGAAAGTTTTATGTTTCCGTGCAAGATCCGCAAACATAAAGTCGAAACCTTTCTTTGACCACACTCCTCATTTTATAGACTCTAGTCCGCAAAGATCGCTGAATATCTCGACTGACTTTGTAAAGGAGGAGCTAGATTTTAAAGGAATCATTTTATGACCCATGCCGAGTATTCGTGCCAAATTTGAAGAAACTCTGCACTTCGCACCTCGAGTAATTCCCCTGCTAATCAAAAAAAGATGACTCTTACTGTTGCTGCGAAGAAAACATTTGAACTGAACCGACCTTTAACCGAATTGAAAGCATAGTATAAAAGCTAAAGTCCAGTTGAAACCTTGAAGTTAATCACGAAATTAAATTTGAGTCCAAAAGAATCGCAACAAAAAGAGAAACAATATACAGAAGCGCTAAAATTAACCCTAAACCGAGTTAAAAATTCCCTAAAAACTGTTTCTTTTCATGCCTAAAGAAAGGTCTTTTATTAAGTCTTTGAACTTGAGGAAAGTCCAAGAGGAGAAAAGTTTAAAAATTTAAAACCGGGAGTTCGAAATTTCCGTTCGAATTCGGAACCCAAAAAAAATGCAAAAACACATTCGGAGTGTGTAATTCAACTTTCCGCTCAATTTGATTTGATAAAAAACTTGTCGGTAAAGCAACAAAACGAATGTTCGTTCAGATGAAGAGACGATCAGAATGGTATTCCGGCGGATAAAGCTGATTTTAACCGGATTTCGGAGGGATTAAGTGGATTTGTCTGCAGATTTAACTCCGTTTTTTGGATTGCCAAGAGCGTTCGGGAATACAATCGCGAAAAGTCTAGAAAATTTGTAATTTTTCAGGGTAGATATAGCGAAAAAATATAGGTTATCAACCGAGCTGTACACCTTGGACGTTCAGTCACGTTGAGATACGTAAACAATGGAGGACTCTGCAAAAACAACCCTTGGAAGTGTATAAATATTGACGTGAAATTCAAAAAACAAACAAATTTAGAAAAGATTTTGTCGTGGGAAAGACGCCTGGACAAAGGATGATGAATGTTCAAGGGCGCAGAAGTCAATGGGAACGGAAGTAATGAAAGTGATTCCATCTCTTTTTTGGAGTAAACGCAGAGTATAATGCTAAGAGGAGACAGTCACAAGGCTTTAAAACAAGTTTTCCGAGAGACTCGAGCTTTCAGATTTGCCTTGTGCACATGAAACAGGATGTCACAGTAGAGCCATGAAACACTAACCATGTGTTACCCTAACCGCGAGTACTAAATTTCAGAAAAAATTTTTTTGATTACTGGCCTACTGTAGGTGTACTGTAGCTTTCCCGCATTTCCAGGATCTCAGCCACGAGAGGTTGGATTCTCTCCGGACCTTCTCTGTGTTATAGAACGGAAAATTCTAAGCAACTTTCGTATTGACACCTTTTCCCTAGGACTTCTGGAAGTATGTGAAAAATTTGCATATTTGGCAAAAAATTTATATTTCTTAACCTTTCTAAAAAAATTTGCATATCGGGACGTCCTTTTTATTGCTCTAAATGACGCTCCATGAAGCAACAATTCAAACGGTATATAGGTCATCGCGAGGCGTTCTGCCTATGTTGCAAACGAGGCTTCTAAAGGTCGGGTCATCACGGATTTTTCTCGGGCTAAAACTTTGTATGCGAGATATTGGGACAAAATTTGGTTTTATTATAATCTACGCAAAATTCTAAGACTTTTGGACCACACTTTTATGAGTCTCAGACCGACCGGTCGAAAGATACGACCGATTCTTGAGACTTTTCCGGTATTTTACAATTTTTACCCGGAAGGTGACGGAATTTCGGGGTTTCTTTGATTGCGTTTAATTCAGCGTCTGTGAATAACTCAATGTTTGTCGCTTTTCATACTTTAGCTATTCAAGTTTTTTGAAAAGTTGGTTGTCGCTTCTAGGAATATTCTGAGGTACACCTGTATTTTTTTTTGGAGTCTGACACCATGCCGCAAGTAAGCTTCTAAGAGGAAAAATTGACAAAATTACCTTTTTTAGTTGCCGCATTTCGAGATTATTCTATAGACCGAATCGATCAAAATATTTTCCATTTATTTTCAGTTCAGAAAAAATCATGCAAATTTTTGTCGGTTTTTCCTCAAAGAAATTTTAATATCTAAAATACTTAACGCTAATGTGATGAATGGAACACGTATCTAGTTTAAATTATATGTTCGGATTCAATTGTGCCATCAGAATGCTGAATTTCAGTCATTAAAATGGAGTTTTGTTAGATATTGCGCAAAAATTTTTAGACAAAAATTCCTTTTTTTTCGCGAACATCCGTATCGGTATGCGGGATCGATGTACGTAGGCAACTTTGTACGTGCTACATCGAATACTACCATCAGAATCCTAGAAACCCAGAAATTTCGTCACCTTCCGGGTAAAAATTGTAAAATACCGGAAAAGTCTCAAGAATCGGTCGTATCTTTCGACCGGTCGGTCTGAGACTCATAAAAGTGTGGTCCAAAAGTCTTAAAATTTTGCGTAGATTATAATAAAACCAAATTTTGTCCCAATATCTTGCATATAAAATTTTAGCCCGAGAAAAATCCGTGATGACCCGACCTTTAGAAGCCTCGTTTGCAACATAGGCAGAACGCCTTGCGATGACCTATATACCGTTTGAATTGTTGCTTCATGGAGCGTCATTTAGAGCAATAAAAAGGACGTCCCGATATGCAAATTTTTTTAGAAAGGTTAAGAAATATAAATTTTTTGCCAAATATGCAAATTTTTCACATACTTCCAGAAGTCCTAGGGAAAATGTGTCAATACGAAAGTTGCTTAGAATTGTCCATTCTATAACACAGAGAAGGTCCGGAGAGAATCCAACCTGTCGTGGCTGAGATCCTGGAAATGCGGGAAAGCTACAGTACACCTACAGTAGGCCAGTAATCAAAAAAATTTTTTCTGAAATTTAGTACTCGCGGTTAGGGTAACACATGGTTAGTGTTTCATGGCTCTACTGTGACATCCTGTTTCATGTGCACAGCTAGCTCGACCCTTACAAAAAAGCTGTTTTAAGGTATCTATTAAAAGAATTCCGAGAGGTTCAAATTCATGAAAATCTATGAAATTTACATGAAATTATGCTGAAGAGTTACCAAGGTACGATGCTATGATTTTTTCACGAACATGATTACTACAGGCAAAATATCAATTTCCAAAAGTTTTAGCTCTGGTTTTACAGGGAGAACCGAGAAACTAAACGCTGTCTGCCAGCAAAAACGAAAATGGGGAGAGACGGCTCAAAGAACACCTTTTTTTGTTCTTTATGAACCACGCTAAAACAAAGACGGTGTTTGCCAGAGTGTTTTACATGCTTCTTTAACCAAAAAAATAAAATTTAAAAAAAAAAAACACAAAAACTCAAATTTTTGGCTTTTTGCGACCTAAAAGCTCGGCGTTCGCTGCAAAGCGTGAGCTAAAAGTCGTGCATGTCTTGGAACACCTAAGGACCTATTAAACCAGGGCCGGGTTTGGACAAAATGCAGGCGTCGTACATTGAGATCTTCATCTCCAAATTTCATTACTTTTTTTGCTGCTAAAAATCAAAATTCGACTACAAAAAAGTAATCAGACTTTGCCAAAATTACACTAAATTCTGTTCCCGCCGAGCCCCCATTCTGTATGTTCTTTGAATTCTGTTACAATGACATGAGAACTTCTTTCTGCCCTTCTACCGTAAGAAAGTCTGTGAAAAAATAATACTAACCAAACTGAACGTGAATTATATCATTTCCCCGATGTATTTTGATTCCCAGAGTGCAAAACCAAATGAAAAGCGGCACATCTGGATCTTTGAAATTTGCAGGGAACACGAGGCCGTTGCCCCTAATTAAAGTCTCTTATATAAATAACAAAAAGTGATTCAAACCGTACCTTGAGCCGGGCTTTTGATAGTCGGAGCTCTTTCTCTTGGGCAAACACGAGGATGGAGATCGGGTGATGGCCTAAAGAGGACTTTACTCGGGACAAAAAATGTATTTTTGAAGATTACTATGTAAAAAATTTTCAAAATTGAATTGCTTGATGTTGAAAAGACATGTCATAAATTTTAGGCCATGATTTTTCCTACCAAAAATTGATGATTTTTGCTCAAAATTCAAAAAAAACGCCCGAAATTTTTTTCTCTGTCGACTCTCCTTATACTCCATAGTCTACAAAAATCATTGAATATCTTGGCTTGATCAGCAAAAAGAGAAGTCTCAAAGTCTCAGAGATTAATTTATGGCCAAGATAGAAAAGACACTTCAAAATTGGAAGATGTCTGAACTTCGACCCTCGAGCAATTCCACTTTATTTTTCAAAATAAAACGAGTTTTTTAGGGAAAAACAGCTCTAAAAAGAGCTCTAAAATCTGCCCTTACCGATTTGTTTGCCTGTACACAGGACGATGACAAGGGATAAGACCAGAGGCACACAGTAGACAACTGACCTTGACTGTCCAAGATGTCAACCTGAAAAGGGCAAGTAAACATCACGACTGTTGTGATGATGTGCTTTATTTGGGTGGTTTGGGGAACGCGCCAAGTTGGAGACCCTACTAAAAAGTGCAGAAAGAAGCTCAGCACCAACCAAAGGACAGTCATGTTGTATACTAACAACTCATTTTCATAAGCTTATGTAAGGAAAACAAAACAAAAAGTCCGAACGCAGTGCATCTACTCTTTTTGGGACCAAGTAAGCAAGTTTACAGCGGGAAAATCCTTAATGAAGCGTGCTGATTTCTGAAATTTTTTTGAGATAGCCGGATTGTTTGTAATTCTTACAAAACATGAAATTTTAAACTTTGGAAGCCAATGTGCTGTTCGTACATTAAGTGTAAAACTTGCAAACTAAAGCTTTATACAACGCTGAATTTTGATAAAAATAGAGGCAAACTTAGATTAAAATTTTGTAAGATATTTATGAGATTTTGACTTCGCGCTTTGCAGAAATGACCGCGATTATTAGAAAAAATGATAAAGCCTTAAATTTTTGTTGATGAACAAAATTCGAAGAAATGCCACAGAATTTTTTCCTGTAACCGTTTTGACTCATTCTCCAGAACCTGTAACCCGTAAAACCCGCTGAATATCTCGGTTGAACTTGCAAAGCACAAGCTACAATTTTTGGAAATTAATTTATAGTCTAGATAAGCCTTGTCTTCAAAATTTCAAAGAAATATCAGCTTTGCCCTTCGACTATTTCGTATTTTTTTGTGAATTGGACCCTCAACGACTTAGAAATAATTTTTTAAATATTTTTTGATAGAATTTGTGATTACAGACTCTATATCCTACAATTCTCCAAATCAACTTACAGGTTTCCCGTAGACCGGCTTCAGATTCCCATTCTCCTCAAAGAACACTTGATACGGCATTTGTGGCAACACACTGTCACTTCGCGCAGTAGAGAAGCTATTTTTCCTTGGCGGATCCATCAGTTCGGCGCCTTTGCTCAACGCGAACACATCGGTGAACCGTTGACCGATCAACGTCTCTCGATCAAGGTTGAAGAGTCTGCGCAAGTTGTTGTTGGCAATCAAAATCTCTTTCGATTCCGAGTCTATCGTCAGCAACGCCCTTAATCGGTTGGCCTCCGACGTGGTGGTGCAATTCTCCGCCGTGACGGTAAGGCTGGAAGGAGTCCGTAAGACTGGTCGCGAAGCCGTTGAGTTCTTCGATTCCGGAGGCAAAACGTCTTCGATGTTATTTGAGTCTGCGATCTTTGGTCGAGGCGGGCGATTTTTTTCTGAAAAGGACAGTAAAAATAAGTAATCGTAAGTTACTTTAGGTAGAAGCTCGTAAAAAATTATTTTTTTTCAACAGTAATTGAAGGAAACAAGAGCCGATCTATGTGTTTTGAAACGGATACAAAAGTACTTCTGGTCTATAATAAGTTGCTGTACGTATCAAAACACAAATTAAAATGGTAGACTAAAAAGGCTCCGTGAAGTCTTGTCTTTGTGCTCGTTGATACACAGAAGACGTAACCCAAGCTAACATTAAAACATGTCTATTTTTAGGACTAACATTTAGACTCTTCTTTCTTTAGTTTTCTTCACTTTTTGGCATTTATGCAACATTTAAATTTTTAAGCCCCAAAAAGTAGAAGCGAAGTCAATTTTAGATGTTTTTCGATCGAAAAATCTCAAACTGAAAATCCAATAAAAGCATTAGAAAATCTTATTATTATCTCGCCTAAATTTCATCAAAATTTTAGCATTTTCCTTCCAAAAGTATCAAAAGGTATCCCGAATTCACCCAAAAGTCTCAAATCCCCTTACTTTTGCTGACCCGGCTCTGTCGTCTCTCGTATATGTATACAGGGTGACCCAAAATAACGGAGACAAAAGATTTCCCGTTTTTTCTGCGGCCTATGAAGATTCATGAGTGATTCCTTATTTATACTACAGTACCACGTTAGTGTAGTTTTATATACCGGAAGTTTTGTTGTACGACGCTCTTGTGCCTTGAACCACATCAATATATCCGGTTGACTCGGACCTTTCTGCCCGTGGGGTCTTTTTGCAAGAAAGCCGCCTTACTCAAAAAAGAAAATTCGGAATAGTTTGAGATTCGCTGTGCTTAATTATCATAATATGGCCTTTAAAACGAGCCATCGTACTAAGCTCAACTATCGATGGTTCAAAAGTTACAGCCGAGTATTTTCAGGGAGTTGAAGTGCAAAAATCGGCCTTTTTTGAAAATGTATCGGTAAAAAGGAGTTTAAATGTTAGATAAGGCAAAATGTAATATGAGTTACTACAACATGATTAAAGGAACACCATAGAACCAAAAGAGAAACATTTTGTAACTGCTACGGAATGCTATTTGGTAATCACTAGGATTGTGCCTTATTTTTGCCTTAGGCGGAATACCAGTCGAGCCGGTGACACATAAAGACCGAAAGTGCCCTAGGCCGTTTCTCAAGAGTCGTATTCATAATTGTACAAGAGCAGAACGCGCCGTTTTTATCTATCTTGTCATTTTGTTATCGATAACCCATCTTTCTCAAAGCCGCGTGCCATGGGGTAGTTCTGGGCGAGAAACTTGTCAAGGAAAATCTGTTGCAACCAGCAAGCAATCACAGCTTTTTCCAGAATTATTGTATTTATGAATAGAATACGTTCTAGCGGTTTTAGCTTTATTCTAAAAAAACTGAATTTTTTATCGAAAAAATTTGGAAAAAATGGCGATCTTCAATGTTGAGATTGGTACCACCGTAGAAATAAAAACTGTAGCCCAGAAACCTACATAACTGCTTGCTTAGAGACGTAGTAGTCTAGCAAAACAAATGAACTTTCCATTTCTGCGGCTGTAGTACAGCCATGCTCTACACAACAAAAAGGAACCAAAATTGAGGGCCAAAAAATGGCGCAAGGCATTTTTGTTAAGCTGTAACTTTTTCCTGCGACATGATGACTCCGCCAAATTTTCGTGGATTATAGAGAAAGTCTTATAGAATATTACCCACTGTCGCTTGTGTTTCTGTAACGCCCGGGTTTCGCGGTGGGCCCTTCCAAAATTTGTCTCCGTTATTTTGGGTCACCCTGTATATAAGCATTAGAAAATCGTCATCTTAACTCGCTCCTTTTTTCATCAAAATTTGAACGAAGAGAATTCCTTGCAAAAATATCAAAAGGTATCCCGAACTCTCCCAAAGGTCTCAAATCCCCCTTACTTTTGCTGACCCGGCTCTGTCGTCGCTCGATATTGCCCGTACTCTTCGACCCATGCATTTGATCCGAATTGGAGAAACTGAACACCCTTCCGAGAATGTTCACCGCCGGCGACGGGGGTTGATTTGTTTTCTGAAAACGAATATGCAAAGCAGTATAAAAATAGACACGGCTGCATGTGATATCATCCGCTGACCTTGGTGTAATTGCTGTACGAGACACTGAACAGTTCGTGGCCGGTGAGGGCGATTGGCGCGACAACCGTCTCCTGCGGGAAGCCTTCAGGTGCCGAGACCTGGGACAGCAACATTCGACGACGGCGGAAGGAGCGACGAGTGAGCTGAAAGAGAGTTGTGAATGCTTATGGAACACATGGGAATATGGGAAAATGGTTTGGACTATAGAAAACATAGTGTTAGGGTATTAAAAACAGCTGCGAGTGGTTCTACTTTTAAGCCGCTGAACTCTGATATAAATAAGTTTTCGCCGAAGCTGACCGAAACCGGAGATCACGTTCCGGAAGAGTCCATTCTTACAATAGCCGGTGGGGGTTCAGAAAGTTAGAGAGCGCGGAGATTTTGAAATATGAACTTCGGTTTTTAACCAAAGTTCACATTTGATCTAATCTTACGCCAAAAAAATCAACACTCAAAAAAACTCAGGGTTCAGATGTGCCAAAAATGCGATGCTTCAATTTTTTTCTAATTTGTAGACGCACTGAACCCCCCTAACAATTACTGGCAATTTGAGCTTGCACTTTGCCAGGGAGTCAAAACATTCAATGACATTTAGAGAGGACGTGCGGAAAACCGAGACTAGTCAAAGGGAACACTTTTTGGATATGTTGTTCCAGTTTTGCCTGCAAATTTTTTTGTGGGAACATTACCCTTTATGGCAGGAACAGGTGTGAAAGTTTCACGTAAATTTTTCGCAAGGAACTTCCAGGTTTTATTCTATGAAAAATCTTTGCCGTTTTTGCAAATTCCAAGCTACAGTGGAAGGCCTGATCAAGTGGCAAAAAACTTACCATTTTGCATCCTGGAAGCATCAAAAAATGTGGCAAAATATCTTCCTAACAATAAGGACGCGCCCTTCAAAACGAAGTTTTTTCACTTGGAGAGGGAGGCATTTTGCCACTTTTTCCTCATAAAAAGGGCGGACGCGCTTTTGAAATCAGAGTTTTTCACTTGGAGAGAAAAGCATTTTGCCACATTTCTGATACTTCCCGGATGCAAAATGGCACGTTTTTTGCCACTGGATCAGGTCCCCCCACTGTAGGGGCCTCGCTTATATCTTCGAGAAAATTAAGCCAAATTTGTGGTAAGGTTCATTAAAATCTGAGCACAGGCATGCCAAGCACATGAAAATTTAGATTCCCTTAAAATTTCGCAAGCATACAGATCACCTTCGATAAGATTATATACCTCCTACAAGTCAAAACTTTTGAATTTGACGCGATTTTTCGAAGCCGGAACCCCTCCTTTTTGACCTCGACTTAACTTAAAATAGTTTAAACAATGTACTTTCTGTTTACAACGGCACAGAATCGCTGATAAAAGGCTTACATCGAGCATATCATTGTTGTTTTCCACCGACTCCTGTCGTTTTAATTTGTTCCTTTGCATTCTGGAAACGGAGGCCCAAATCAAATCAACCTATAACCAAATCACACGCCTCCGAACGAACGGGCGGAATGCAAATGAGGGGCCAACAGTTTGGCCAACCCTTGGCCTTGTCTCAAATGAAACAGGCTAATTAAAAATAGAACAAACCAAAAAATGGTCATGCGATAAGGCTGTTGACGGAACGGGTTCCTGGGAGTGGTGGGCAGGTAAAGAGAAGGGGTTACTCGTGGAGGACTTAACGAGTAACAAAATATTAACAGGGCAACGGGAAATAATTGGGAGAAGGGTGGACGTTCGAGGGGAATTTGTAGGGAATAAAATAGGATACTAGGTAAAATGTGTGATTTACACGACCCCGTTAAGGGCCATAGGAGGGATTAAGATGCAAATTAGAGAGCTATTGAGAGCGGGGTTTAAAGTTTAGCAAAGATTTGACATGTTACGGTCGAATAAATATAGGATTTTGAGAGGAAGTGGACAAAATACAAGTCTTGGAGTTCGACAAAACTTGGAACTAGTCTGAATAATATAATACTTTAAAAAATATATGGAGGAGTTCGCGTTATGCAGAAATTACCGAGATTTGTAGGCCAAGACTGACACGGACTTTTTTTTGATTTTTATTTCGGCAGTCGATATGGAGGATGTTCGGAATGACGAGGTAAAAATTCCAACAAAGATCGGCCCTTCCATACAAAAAGTTCGAAGAAATAAAGCCGGAATGATTTTTCTCTGCCTGTCTCTCCTCATTTTTCAAAGTCTCTCGTCTGTAAAGGTCACTGCAGGTTGCTAAATCATATCTCGACCGATTCCGTAAAGCAAGAGCTGAAATTTTGAACAATTGAAATATGGCCAATAGAGATTGTACTGGCAAGATTTGAAGAAAATTCGAGCATTGTATTATACTTCCAGCCCTTTTCTTTGAAATAAAGTGGCAAAAAATATACAATTCCGCCAGTTACACTCAAATAAAACCAAATCTCTGTATAATGAATCGCAAAGAACGAATTTATTCGTTATAGAAAGGCTCTATTTTGCAGAGGCTCACTTCCCCAATTATCTCGAAAAATTGTTTGTTATAGATAGATTCCGTTGTACACGACCCAATTGAATAGATTTTTTTCAACCTCTAACCTCAACCATCTGTGCTGAAAAAGAAACTCGAAAACTCGTCGAGATTTCATCCAGACACGGCGAGAAAATAAAATTCCCTGAGGGCAAATTGCTCTTTTGTGTCCGTCCTCTCATTACGCACATATAATTTATATCAGAGGGCCTCGAAAAGAAATGAAAAATATTAAAAATTAATCATAAAGTTACACACATTGTGCTGAAAACATCACGAGGCTCTTCTTCAGCCACCTGAATTCACTTTGTTTTTGGCCACGGAATTCAAATAAAAATAAAAAATATCAAATTTTCCGCAGTCACCAGATGTGCAAATAAAAAAAAAATTTTTCGGAAAATTTTTAGAAACAAAGGATAAAGAGAAAAACTGTTTCTTCACGGCTTTTCGAACGTTTTTTTATCGCCGGTATTCAAATGTGTTGGGACAAAGAACGGGTGTTTTCGAAAAAAAGGAAACTCCAAACTTTCCTGGCCCTTTCCGCGACCCTTTTTTTCCTTTTTTCAATTGTTTTTTTTAAAGTTTTTTTTTCAGGAAAAGAGCAAGTATCCCGTGTAACGCCCTTAGGGCAGGGGACTTTTCATCTACAGGATGCGTTTTTCCCTCCGAAAGTTAGTAATTTTTTTCGTAAACACGACCTCAAAGTGAGAGATAAAAAAATGAAAAGTTCTTGCCTCGAGGAAAAGGTAAACAGCCATTATGACGCGAGAAAACATGACAAAAACAATAAAATATAAAATGAAAAATTGAAGAGGGCGAATGAGCTGTTGCATTTTTTAAGGCAAAAAACTTTTGATAAATATTATACTATCTAGATGGGTCAAAAGGCATTGACTAGTCATAGCCCTCAGGTCCTCATTCATTATCCAGAGTGCTCTTTTGGTCTTCTGCATGACTAAAACACATTAATATGTAAAGAAAAATTTCTTGCACGTAGCAATAGAATTACATTACAGCGTTGTCATTTTCTTGTAATCACAATTTGGATTTCCATAATAAACAGAAATAGCACACAAAGCATGTTTGTGCTGTCAATAAGGTTACAAACATGTTTACTCTACAAAATAAAAATAAAAAAAAACAAAAATATTCTCTTAATACCTTGCATCTATGGCTAATATAACACGCAATAAAATTTGTTGCAGTTATAGTAAAATAAAATTACAAACATACTGCTTAATCCTAGCTTCAGAATTCCAAAAAACCTTCCGGCTAACATGGGGCTAACAATCGTATCCCCGGAGGCATTCTATTATAAAAATTGGAAACCAGAGATCATGGATTAAATAAACAACTACTGTTTTTGAGTGGTATAGACCCCAATATGCGGAACATTGGGGTCCAAAGTGTGATATTCTAAAAAAAAAGAACCTGAGAAAAATAAAGGAAATGTAAAAATAGGATGAACTTTTGTTCTTTAGAGCATACACAGCAAAGGCAATTAAGTTTTGAAAGTAATGAGGCTAGAGGAATACTAGAACCAACAAAATTTTTGCTAAATTTCTGAAAAAATTGTAAGACCCACATATGTATATAAGAGGACCTCACGAAAGATAATCTGTGACATTCATTAGCCGTGAAAGCTAGAGAAACTCCAATCCCAACGAATTTGCACGGATCATGCACTTTTTCGGGTGAATGGCCAAAGCGTATTCTCGAAAAAAGGGCGTTTAGAGGAGCTAAACAACGTGACGTTGTAACAAAATGTGTTCCGGAGATCAGATCTAAGGTCAAGCAGCTGATTCGTTAAAAACAAATTGCCCTGCTTGGAATGCTTCGGGTGCTCAGATCTTGATGAGAATTGGCATAGATCAAGTCCAAAATTGAAGACATATGCAGGGCATTTAGCTCTCTTTTAGGACTATCGAATATCGAGAATTTTGGGTCAGGAACGTTGGAAGGTTGAAATTTTATTAGAGCGACAGCTGCAATGGCTTTACAGCCTGCTTTGCATGTGAAATTCATTACTTTAAAAATAAAGTTTCTCCAAACCGTTTGTCACTGACCATCTCCTCATATTCCACAGTGTCTCGATTGCAAAGATTGTTGGGAATCTCATTTGTAAAATTGAGCTCAAATTGGGCAGTGTTTTAGCACTTTAAAACAGAGGGCTAAAATCTCTTGCATAGGGTTGAAATGGCGTTGAGAGAAAGACGTAAAAAGATCACCATTGACCCACATTGCACTGCACAAGCAACGATTATTCTTTTGATAATTTCGCACAGTGCAGAGATGGCAAGGGTTTTTGCCGCTCCAAGTAATGAAAAATCCAATATTTGATGAAACTTCTTGCATTTTCCACATTAATGTGAGATTTTAAAGCATTTTAAGCATCAACGCCAAAGCTAAATATAATATCTGTAATCAGCTTTACATTACAGTTTTCGTTTTTGCCCGATGCAAATCATTCTTTCATCACAACATGAACCGACATTTTAATATGCTAATGTAAGTTTCTTTATCCATGTTCTTCAAAATTTGGAGTGGCATGCTATAGCATGGGAAATGCTCGAGGTGCAACATTCAGATTTTGATAAAAGTCGGCAAAAATTTAGTCTTATTTGCCAAGGACACGCTTTGCAGGAACGACCGAGATTTTTAGATTAAAAGTTGGCAAAAATGTCAGCCTTTTTTTATTTTGGCCTGATGTGCTTTACATCGATCTCTACCACATAGGACAATGTCTCGCAAAAGCAAACATAATTTTTTTTCCATGCAAACCTGGCAAAGATCTCTCTTTAACTCTCACGGCGTCAAAGGCCGTTCAAAATCTCGGCTCTATTTTTCTTTCCATTGATTACGGTATTCGAGCCGGGATACACCGACTTTTAATTTTGTCCATTTCTTTTACCCTGTAAAACTTTCGGAATATGAAACCCGGCAGAAATGTATGCGATCTACATACATATGTACATAAAACAATTCTGAGCGTCGCACGTCAAACTGTGGAGTCCGGTGACCGGAATAGACACTTCGCTATCGGTTTTTTACACTTCGTCTTGATTTCGCAGAGAAATAAAGAAAAAGACACGCAAAAGCGAACTCTCTCGCCCAAAAATTCCCCATTTCTTCCCCGACAAAAGGTTTTTTCGCGTCTTTTTTTGGCAAATTTCCTATCCGTTCACCGGACTGTTTTAGCTTTTCTCAGTTTGACGTGCGTCGCACTTGTGACGCGACTTTTGTTAATTGTCACATTTTTGAACGGATATTGTTTCAGTTTGTATTATTGGTTATACAACAAAAAGCTCGTGTTTTTTATTGCCTTTTCTCACCTGAGCCTGCGTAGGACCGTCGTAGATAACAATCATATGCGTAATGAAAGCAATATCAGTCACATGCGAGGGCAAGAAAACTGCAAACCAAATACAATCGTTTATTGACCAAAGTTGAACGGCAATTTGATGATATTTAAATTTCCTTGCAAAATTTTCATGAGAATGACGCAATCCATTAAACTTGTGGACACTGGCAAGACCATTAAACAGCTTGTCGGTCTTTTTTATGATGTTGACCCTCTTATCACCCATAATTTTTAACATTTACAGCCATACTTTCCATTAAAGCACGTAGTTATCGGCTTGTCTATTCTTAGGAAACCCTTTGACGTCAATGCGATGATATTCTGAAAGATCATACGGTATTTACGATCGGGGGAGGATTATGATTGTTGAGAAAAATTGGCGTGGTAATTTGGAAGCTGAAGAATGAAAAGAATTTTAAGTCACTTAAAAATAAAGCAAAAAAATTGCACAGGGTTTCATAGACTTGTTCTGAGCCAATTTCTTACCTTGCCAAAAGCATAGGCCCTTTTCAATTTCTCAAAGTTTTAACTTCCGCTTTGTAATGACAACCGAAACATTACGAGATCTTTACACGGAGAGCTGTCAAAGAGAAAAACGTATTTTTGCCATAGTTTACCAGTTTTCTATGGAAAATTTTTTTGTAAAAGAAACACTGCCTTTTAAACAAGGAAACTCTTCAGGCTAAATTGTGTAAAAAAGAAAGCAATTTGCACCGGGTTTCATCAAAATCCGAGCATCGCATTTTGAGCATTTCTCCTGTCAGCAGCAACGTTTTTGTAACAATAGCTGGATAGATGATTAACAAAGAAATTGTAAAAAACCTTGTAAGTCTAGGGGTACCTTTGCATTAAAAAATTTAAAGTTTATTTCTTAAATAGCCGTTAAAAATGCCGTCGAAATCCATTGCAATCCAACCGATCTCAAACTCCATGCATTCAGTTCTCCAGATCCCAGAGGGAGGTGAATGGAAGACAGACCATCGCCCAACCAACTGATAAGGAATTATCAATCCCCAAAACCTCAAATAAAACGGCCGGGTTTTTGAAATTTGATTTGGAAATTACTTCATTACAAACAAAACAATGGTTGCAGTATTGCGTTTTGTGTTCCTACTATCGCTCTTCGTGATCAGCGTGGAGTCAGCACCAGTGTCGGAACTCAAATCCGTACTTTTAAAAGAGGACCGTAAGTTGAAGTTTGTATTGTCGAAAGTAGAAAAATGACGTCATAGAGGGTTTGCCGCAGAGGATGGTTTGATTTTTGATCTATGGCTAGCGCCAGCAGTTACTAGGTGGTCAAAAGAGTCTTGAAATGCCAACACATGGTTGCATTGTTCTTACACTATATATATGTATATGCATATTATATATCCAAATCTTATGCAGGCTCACGTCAGACGCTACGATTGGAAAAACTTTTCTAATTTCCAAGAGAAATCTCTCCAAGTGCGACGCTCAGATTTTCTTTAAATTTTGAATATACTTTGGGTATAGGCCATATATCAATTTTTGAAAGTTGTGGTTCGCGCTTTGCAGGTTCTGCTGAGATATTCAGCGATCTTTGCGACCGAGAAACTATGTGAAATGAGGAGTGCGGACCATTTTAGCCGTATCTTTGGGAAGGAAAAACATGATTTTTTTGTGGAAACGTTGCCTTCTACGATAGAAGTAGGCAAATTGAGAGGCCAATTCTTGTTGTAAAACTTTGCAGGCTACTTTTGCAGATATGCCAAAAATTTTATGATGATTGTAAGCAGAGATTGCCACGGTATTTCTCTCCGGCTCTTAGCTCCCAGAGCCGGAGCCGAGGCCAAATTTGCAGCTCCGGCTCCTGCTCTTGGCTCCGTGCAAAATTTATAAATGCATCCGGCTCCGAATCCCGGCTCCTATGCAAAATGTTTTTTTTTTAAATATTTTCCAAAAATAAAAGTTTTTAGTGTCATAGATCATGCAGCCAACGTTTTTGCAGTCAAGTCACATCCTCTGCAGTGTTTTTTAAGCAATTTGGTTTAACAAGATCACGAAATTTTTACTTTTTTGATCGCTGGGAAGCTTGGCTCCGACTTTGAGCTCGGGAGCCGGAGCCGACCCCAAAGTTTCCGGCTCCGGCTCTGGCTCCCGGCTCGGAGCCGGGGCCGCTCAGAGCGGGAGCCAATGGCCGGCTCCGGAGCCATGGCAATCTCTGATTGTAAGCTTGATATAAGAATCATGCATTTCAGATTGTGCGCCTGTCGAAAAGGAATGTCTAGCCAAATGCGAGCACTATTGCCACGAGACCGGCATGGAGCCTCAATGCGAATACATGGGAGAGAAAGTGGGCTGTATATGTGTTTGTCATCATGGCCACTAACTCTTCATCATTACCTACTCCTCGATTGAATCAATCCGTCCAAAACTCTATATTATGGCTATATTATGGCATCGCATAATCATCGGAATACTCATTGAATTTGACTGCTTCTTCAACATGTTCTACTACCCAATTAGTAGTCGCGATCTGTGTGTATAAAAGAGTACAATCAAATAAACTTCTCCCCTTCTTTACGTAATATCGTTAGCCCGACGGAGCAGAAGTGATGAAGTCGTGGGAATCATAACGCGCAGCAAATCCCTCACGCAATCGAATTAATCGCCGGGGGAGTCAGTCCTATACATCCTATTTGTCGAGGAACCATTCATTTTGTGGATAAGCGTTTTTTACGCGCGCAAATTAAAGTCTTCCTCGGTTTGAGCCACTGGCATAGATTATTACCCATAACGGAACCTTTCAGAAAACCTTTCGGATCATTTACTCCGCAACAAAAGTCGCGGAGTTACGAAAATTATGATTTTTTGTTATGTTGGGATTTCCGATGTTCTGGAAACGTTATTTGGACTGAAATTTCTGTTTTTTAGAATTTTTTACCAGTGAAGCAGCGTACAGACAATTTTGAGTCTTTTAAATAGAAAATGCAATAGAAAAGTCATGGACTTTTCCTTGATCTACAAACCAGGATGACAGTCAGATTGAAGCGAGAGGCTGACTGCCCCGCAGGTATGGCTAGCCGGAGTAATCAAGGCGTTTGAGTCAGCGGAGTTCGATGAAACATTTTTATCTTTCGGTATCTGCTCCTTTTATATGAGACAGTAGAAGCAAGTCAACTTTAATAAGATTTTCTGGAAGGCTTTTCAAACATTTCTTTCAAGTCTTGCAATTTTTCCTTGGGAATGTTGCAACGAAAATATGTGGCGAGCCAAAGGTCATTCCTTCGACAAAACAAATCTTTGAAAAAAACAAAAACCACTGTTCCGCTCAGTTTTTACTGTAATCTTACACCACCCTTCCTGATTTTGATTATTGTAGCCATAGACTCCTGAAATGACTTTAGCGTTTGAAAATTGTCGTATCTGTCGTACAGTATTCATACTACTAAAGTGTTGTAGTACTAGCTGGCAGAGCCATAGGTATATTTACTGCAGTATAAAGCAAATCTCACGCCCATTCCCACCCTCATTCTCCAACTAAAACCACATCTTGTCTCATAAAATAAATATTTTTATTGTCATAGTAGTAATGCAAACCTCTCTTTTATTGTCTTGTTTCCAGATCTTTCTATACCAATTTCTTTTTGAATCTCCTCATGCTTTTACAGCGTGATTTTGTGTCGATGTAACTTATTGACGTAATAAGAGTTTATGACCTTCCATAAAGAAGAACTCTTCTTGAAAACTGTGACTTATGTTTTGGGGTGGACTTACCATTCAACGTTTTTACACTGTCTGAGAACGAGAATTCGAAAGTATAATGTTTGTAATGGATAAAAAAAAATCTTTGGAGTTTAAGGCCGGTGAAAGGTAATTGTAAGCAAAGTGACCAGGACGAAAATGATCATTGTTGTCCAATTGCATCCGGGAAGTATTAAAAATGTGGCAAAATGCTTCCTTCTCCAAGTGAAAAAAACTCCGATTTCAAAAGCGCGATCGCTCTTTTTGTGAGGGAAAGGGCGCGCCCTTCAAAACAAAACTTTTTCACTTGGAGAGGGAAGCATTTTGTCACAATTTTGATACTTCCCGGATGCAAAATGGTACAGTTTTTGCCACTGGATCAGATCCCCCATTGTAGGATCCTCCGAACTTCCCATAAATTATAAACCTTCTAAAAGGAAATAATTTAGCGGTCTCAAGAGTGGATCTTAGGCCTAAAGAACCTTCTTGCAACGACTCTGTTCCAAAGAGAATGATTTTTTGGTCCTTTACAATTCTTTCTACAGAGGCTTGACTGTCATTATGCAGAAAGAAACGGGCCAAAAGTCATGTTTCTCTGACCCTCTCTCCTTATTTTCCATAGTCTGTATGTTACAAAGGTCTTTGCGTTATTGATGACTTTTACAAAGCACGTGCTACGAACGGAATCTCATCTAAACGGAATCTCGGCGTCCTCCAAGAAGTCTCCGCCGTAATTCAACAAGACTAACGTCATCAGTTATCCTTGACCTTCTTTAACACGAACTCTTGAACCCTTCCGAAAGCAAACACCTCCACCAATTTTACGACTCTGTTACATTTACGCAACCCAACACGTAGCTTAATTGGACCGCACGCGGAAAGATCTCGACCCTCCATTATCTCGATGGTTTGAATGGTCGATTGTCTCGCCTTTCTTTTCTCGTTTTCACCGAATTCGTCGAACATTTTGGAGGTTTCCAGAAGGTTTGGAAGATGGTTTCTTTCGAATTGTCCGAAAAACTGGTATTTACCTCGAGGCTTTTTTTCGATTAATGTCAATACCTCTCTTTTTACCTTTGAAAACTTTGAACTCCCCCGCAAAAAAAGGGAGTTTTGTCAATCGGAAGTGAGGCCATAATTGAGGAGAAGTGGGGCTGGGGTGGTCTATAAATTTAATAGACAATTCTTGATTTATTTACTACAGTCAAATCGAGGAAAAATGAGTCGTAATGTACCAAAAAGTTATTTGTTTGAAGGGGGTTTAGTTTTATGGAGATTGACTTTGTTTTTATTTTTGAGATTCCTGCAATTTTTTCATTACAGAGGTTGACCTGCAATTTGGATTGAAGCTACTATATATTCTGTTTGGATCCATAGAAAATGTTTTTTCAACGCGCTTGCAAACGTTTTTATGTATTTTGTATTTTGAAAATTTTGCCATGACTAAACACGGGATACCCTCTTCCTATTTGAAAGAACATTCGTTAACTGCTAAAGTCTTGCGCCAATTTTGCATGAGTAATCCTTGAACTGTTATTTTGACATTTTTTTGTTTTCTTTAATCGTGAAGTGTTTCAAGCCTTGCATTCGGATTTTTTAAAAGTTTTACATACTTCATCTTTACTGACTTTTCTCCATAAAAGTTTTGAACCGCTCGGTGTAGCGAAGTTCTAGTTATTGAACCGCTTTTTACAAAAGAGCGCGCAAAACAAGGAGAGCCGGCTAGGCAATTTTTTATAGCTTTTTATAGCTTCTTTGTTTCAGCTTTGAAGAAAGTTGAAGCATTGCACGCCACACTAGTAAATAAAGCATGACATTTGTAGACCAAAAGTTCTCGGCAGTGTTGAAAAAAATCAGTTTTGAATCGCACTTGAGCCCTGCAAAATAACGTCACAAGTCTTTTCCAAGTTGCATCTAATTATGCCAGCCTCTCCCTAAACTCTCCCTTTTTGTAAGCATTTTATTTCTTCTTTCTGCCCAAACATTTGAACTCGAGTTCTGCGCAACGAATTAAAATGCCCTTTTTTGACTTTTCAGACAAATAAATTTTCAATTTCATCATTCAAACACACATCTTGGGAAGTTTCGAACCACAAAATCGTATTTACAAGTAGTTAAACAATTTGTTTGCAGAAGGGAAAGGCATCTGGTTGTAACGCAAGTTTAACAAATTCTTAGTGCAGAACACTCAAAGTTCTGGTTAGTTTTCCGTTTAAGGCTTTAGTGTACTGTAGCCAATTTATGCTTACAGAGAAAATGCCTCAAGTGCGAGGCTCAAATTTTGATAAAACATGGTATAGATTTCGAATAATTTTTTCTATGGTATATGCGAGAATCCTAGCTCGCGCTTTGCAGAAGAGACCGAGATTTTTTAGATCAAAAGTCGGCCAAAATTCATTGCTTTTTGACGGATTTTGGCATAAAAAAAATTTATATCTATTTCTACCTTAGACTGTAATGTTTACACAGTAAAGTGAACGTTAATTGTTACTAGGTTTATTTGAGTTCGAAGAAGCCTAAAAAGGACATTTTAAACATTTCGCCTTTAAAAATCAGCCTTTTTCGAAACCCAAACAAGATCATCACCCACGCGGCTAATAATAGTGTTGTTTTTAAAGTTAAGAATAAAAGTGACCCCGACGCTCTTTACAGCGGCTTAAAATCCCTCGCTTTTTAAATTTTAAAAAATTTGTCAGGCGTGGTAGCCACCCAAACATGCGGTCAATTCCGCTGTAATAGTTTATGTTTACTTATTTATTCTTTTTTATATGATTCTTACTACATGGTATATAATATACTATACATACAGTGCAAAAAAAAGAATAAAAAACTAAGCCAGATAAAAGTTGAAGCCTTGTGGCTACTGTTACAATCTGTGTGAAGATTCTCTGAACACGTTCAATTTAATTGTCAATAAAGCGAACAGCTCGCTTCTAGAAGCTTCCCCGCGGAATTTGTTGTCGACAAGATGTACGGGCGGTAATTGCACTCGCGCAGGTTAAAATTGGAGAAGTAAATAAGGCAGAGATCAGACGGTGAGAATTGATCTTGAGATGAACTTTAGGGCTTGCAAAAATGGTAAATGTTGGACACGCGGTGGCAGAGAAACCTCTGTAAACATGTATACATCGAATCAAAAGGCACCAAAAAAATTTGGTTTTTTTGGAAAGGTTTTGTTCTGTAGAGGGCCATTTATCCTAAGCTTACTTCTTGTGACCTCTGAAATTATTTGTTATAGAGAGGCTTTGTTGTAAGACAGTTTGTTTTACCTAATTTTATCAGCAATTTTGAGATTTTTCATTTTTCTAACTTTCTTTGCCGTCGATTGTAATTTTACGGCGCTTTACAGTTCCTAACTCACAGACTACGCCGCCACGGTGTGTTCTGAGTCGAAACATTTTTTTGAGAGAGAGCTCTTGAACTCTACTTGTCCTTGGGACCTTCTAGAAGTTTACTTCTTTTACACACGGGTGATTTAACATCTCGGAACGGGCTTCCTTTGCATTCAATGTATGCGTCATACCGGCAAACCAAGGCAAATGCATATCTATTTTTTCCTTTGCTACGTCACTTTTTAGGCGTATTTTTTTAAAGTCATTGTGATCTTCATGTGAAGTTTTAAAACAAAAATGAAGCGATTGACCTTAAGCGCCCATTTTTTGATGAACTTTTTGGTCAAAAAATAACCTTATTCACCTCAAATGCTATCCTTACCAACTACACATCACAGTTCATTGTCCCAGCCTCCCGCTGACCTCATCTTTTGCATACATCTTCTCTACAGTGTCCTTGTGATTTGTTGGTTGTGACCGTCCAGAAAGGACTGTTGTTTTCAGTTCGCCGAACCGTTCTTCCCCACCAATCCGTCATTGATTTTACCGCATCCATCAACATTTTTATTTTCGACTTGTAGTTTAAAATTGGGAAGAACTTTTATGATTCGGGTTTGGTTAAAAATACCGGGGGTGGACCCAAGAGTTTAGGTTATATATTCTGCTGAGTTTGCGGTTGGGCTTTGTTGACGTTAGACGATGGTTTTGTGGACTTACATAGTTGTTTTATCACGCGAAATTGGCGGAATTTATATCGTGCTTTAATTAATTAGTCATCATATTATTTAAGTCATCTTTTTCAGACCTTTAAATACTCAAAAAATGAAGCCCACGATTGATCCCGAGAATGGATTCGAGTTCGATTACTTCGAGAAGCTCGAACAGGAATATATGTGCTGCTGCAGAGCGGTGCATGTAAAACAAGGCTCCCTGATGATCGGAGTGGTCTCTTCAGTACTCGTACTCTACTCACTGCTCTCTTTGCTTATTACTACCACTGTTTTCACAAAGTCCGAGTACGTCCAATTGGCAGTATTAATGTTCGACGTCCTCGCAATCTCATGTCTATTCCACGGAATCCGAATCGAAAGCCACAAGTTGCTACTGCCCTACTTGTTGTACATGGTAAGAATTATTCTATTTCATCCTTTTTCTCCCTTACTTTTCTGCCTTATATTCAAAACTAACTTATTAAATTTTCAGTTCAACATGTCATCCCTTCTCCTGGCCGCTCTTTGCATGGGCATCTACACTTTCTTGTATCCAAAACAAACCAGTGGCTACCAAATTTCGAGTGGGCTCTTCGACAACCCGCAACTCGATTATCGGGCGGTTCAAGTCGCCGGTTTATTCGTAATGATCTCCTGCTTAATTGTAATGGTCCTCGCTTTATGGTGGATGTATGTTGTTTGGAGGTGTTTCATCTACTTGAAAACCCTGAACAACAAACGAGATCATGTGGAGATGCATGAGAAAGCGAAGTACATGCCAAAGACCTACTTTGGCGATGGCCAGCATTAAGCAATTTTGTATGTTAATCGAAAGTTATACTATTCTAAGTCACGTGTACAAAGCCCTATAACTACCTCAACCTCTCAAATCATCCCAAGAACTTTTTTAACCGAGTTTAACAATAGCATATTGTAAAGTCATGTATTATACTAGTCATCTAACATTCCTGCCTTCCAACCTTTGATAATACGGTTTCAAATAGAATCTCACATTACTTTCATCTCAACTAAATGTTGATTATATTGTTTGTAGTCAATAAAATCATCAAATACATAACGTTGTGCAAGCTTTTTTGTATTAGGTTTAGAAGTATGACTTTGTCGTCTTTTGCGGCTCATAATTTAAACCAAATAAAAAAGTGGTTGAAACTTTTTGGTTGCAAAGTGTCAAGACCTTGATATGAAAGTAATAAAGGTCCCTAATCTAGTTCTATCTAACACTCCACCAACACAAGAGTTGACCATAGACAAATCAATAATAGACAACAGTAGAAATACGACGGTTTATTGCTCCAAATGGGCGATTTCTCTTCCTTTTATACCAATTTGTCGGTCATTCTGTGGGAATATGCAAATTCGCACGCGAAGTCGTGACAAAAGCCATTTTGCAAATTTCAGACTAACAAGGAAAGGCTCCAAGTAAGTGCTGGAAGTGCGACGACGTTCAGACATCGATAAAAATTGCGATAAAAAAGGAAATTTTTTGTGTCTATTTAAAGATGACGTACTCAAGAAGTCATCTTTTCTGCAGCAAAAATATGGTTGCGGTTTGTGGCTTTTGAAGAATTGTTGACTGAATGTACCAAGTAGAATTTTCAAAACTTGGAGCCGACTGAAGCTTATTTGGGACCTTGAATTCAATTTTTTCCATGAGACAAAAAATGTTTCACAAATGAGGAACCTTTATCAGCGATTGTGCTGTCTGAACCTATTCTGAAGAAATCGATTCCTTGTTGCCTTATCAGTCAATTCGGTTTATCAATTTATTCCATTTGCCGCTTTCTTCCGCCGCTTACTCAGTTCCCTTTACTTGTATCGGGTGAGATGATCAAGCCAAGTGGAGTGGAGTATCACAAGTTCGTGGAGGGTCAGCGGAAACCGGAGTAAGTTGAGGGCTGGCGAGGAAATATGCATATTTCCAAATGCGAAGCTAGATTTTCTTTGAATTTCCACCCAGGTGGGGCATAGGGAAGATATCAATTGCTGAAAATTTTAGCTTGCGCTTTGCGTAGCCGGCATAATCAACGCCATTTGCGGCCGAGAAAAACTATAAAGGAGAAACAACTGTATGGACCATATCTTTGCCAATTTGACCTATAAAAATTAATTTTGGTAAAGCCAATACCCAGCTAATCCTAAAATTTTTGAAACAAAAAGATTTCGGCCAAAAGTTGCCCATTTTTTCGACTTCATGACAAAATATCTACGTTCTGAGATGAATACATGAAATAAAATGCCTTAACTTACTCCTTCCTCCATTTCAGCCCATGGCAGACCCACATGAACTATCTTTTCCGCGTCGTTCTACTTATTGGCACTTTCGTCGGACTGGGTCTTGTCCTTCTTGCGTAAGTTTCATTATCATTTGAAAATTTATACAAACCTTATTTTCAGTCTTGTGTCAGCGTTTTCCTCTACATCTGAGTTCAAACGAATCACTGATCGAGTTGAGCACACTCAAATTCGAAAACAAGATCCCAGTTTTAACGAGGATTACAGGAAATATCTTCAGTTCTTGAAGGAGTAAGTTCCAAGTTGAAATAGAATCATTTTTGTAGACATGACCGCAAATACGACGACCCAGATGAGTTCGATCTTCGATTTGGCCACTTCAGGAAGACGTTGGAGAAGGTGAAAAGGCTGCAGCATCTCGAGAAGTTGACCAAGACCGAATTTGGGATCAATGAAATGGCTGATATGAGTGAAGACGAAATTAAAGAGGTAAGGCTTCTAAATTTTATTTTGAGATCTTTTCAGATGCTTCTTCCTCTGGATTTCTACAAAAAGCTCCGAAAAGAAGCCACCTTCATCCAGCCCGCTCCTCCAATGGACAAACTTCCCAAAAAGGACTCCTCCCCTTATCCAGCCCACTTTGATTGGCGTGACAAAGGCGTGGTGACTCCAAGCCGCTCTCAGCATCATTGTGGATCTTGCTGGGCCTTTGCCACGGTCACTACGGTCGAATCCACGTACGCAATTGCTCATGGAGTGCTCCGGAATCTTTCACAACAAGAGCTTTTGGATTGTAATTTGGAAAACGACGCGTGCGGCGGTGGAACGGTCGATAAAGCTTTGAAATTTATTCACAAATACGGACTGATGACTGCTGATCAATACCCATATGTGGCGCATCGTCAAAACACCTGCGCCCTCAATGATTACTCGGGTCCCACCACGAAAGTGGAGCTGGCCTACTTCTTGAATCCGGATGAGAATGCGATGATCGAATGGCTCGTGAACTACGGGCCGGTGAATGTGGGGATCAGTGTCCCGCCAGACATGACCCCCTATAAAGGCGGAGTTTATCATCCGTCCGCCTACGACTGCAAGTTCAGAGTCCTCGGCCTGCACGCCCTGAACATTGTAGGTTACGGTACGAACGAGGACGGTGAGAAGTATTGGATTGTGAAGAATTCATGGGGACCAAAGTGGGGAGTTGAACAGGGATACGTTTATTTCGCCCGAGGAATTAATGCCTGTGGAATTGAGGACGATCCGGTTGGAATCTTGGCGTAAAATTCGATTATTTTTTAGTGTTGTTGTTTATTGTTATAGTGACAATCCTATCCAGATTGAAAATAAAATTAATGATACAGATGAGGTGGTTAAAAAAGAAGAAGAATCCATCGCATTGCAGAAGTCAGTCCAGCAAGCGTAGACCTTCAAATTAGGGGGCAAACCGTAGGGTCTGAGGTCAAGTTCATGACTCGTTTTCTTGGTCTCAACGGGGCTACAGCCTTGGCGGATAACTGTGTTGTTTCTGGCGATTATCTGGAATTAGGATGGTTCAGGGTCTAACTGTGTAATGTCTAACGTAATATATCAAATATTTTTTCAAATGGTCCATATGAAAACGGGCCAAACTATTGAGGAAAAACATTGAGAAGATTAACAAATGAGGAACAAAAAATATTTTTTTCTTGTTCTTTTGGCTGACTAAATCAACACACCGGATCCCGACAAAAACTTCATTTTGTAGTCTATTTCAACTTGCCATGCCTTCAGTTGATACACCCAAAAAACACGTCTCACAAAGGAAGCCACATTTTTCGCAGATCGATCCTTACTGGTGACCCAGTGGATGTTGAAGGCCTCAGACAGTGCAATAAGAATCTGGCTTCCAAAAGTGTTTACGGACCCTGAGGGCAAAGTTATGGCACATCAAAGTTCACGAAAAAACCCCACCAAAAGAGATCTTCCAAAAAACGGGGTTCAGGGAGTGAGCCTCGAGGAATTCTAGGTCGATTAAGGGCATAGATACTTGAAAAAGAAAGCACGTGCAATTTTTGTAGGGATTCGCTAGCCAAAGAAGCTTTGACAAGCACTAAAGAAGATAAAGTCAAAAGCCACGGTCGTAAAAAACGGTATTCCTCCATGATCCTTTCTTTTGCAAACAGCCAAACACCCACTCACCTTTATACAGCCCTGTCGATAGCTGCACTCGGTACTACCCGGCGTCAAGCAGTCCATAGCGCCGCTACAATGATAGCAATCAATGTCATAGGTCGCCCTTGTCCGCAAAGTCCAAAAACTCATCACTACTAAATACAGTGTGACCTTAGACCACATTGTGTTCGAACACTACTCAACTACCCTCGGAACAAGCGCTGTTTTTTGTTTAAATGGCGACAAACTTAATGTCAACGCCTTGTAAGATGTTGAACAAACATTTCGAGATGACATTAGCGAGTGAGTCAGGGTCGTCAACGGCCGAATTTTTCCGGAATTTGCGGGCGTTATAAGACGCCGGAATGGGTGCGATTGCTTTGTTGAATTCACAACTACAAACTTTTTTTCTCGCCCACTAATCCTTGCGAGATTTCAGACTACACCATTAAAGACAACACATACGATTGGGCAATGTTTATTTTTGCTTCTTCAACTTTGCAGCTGATTTTTTCTTCCTTTCCTTGGCGAAGACTCGGCTCAACTTGCGACTTACGGCCGGCTGTCGTTGGGCGCCGATCTCCTCGAAGACGGTCGGGGCACTGTCATCACTACAAAAAGATAAAGGAGTAATCTCGGGAAGAAAAGTAAATACTTTGATTCTCAGTATAATCTGAGAAACAAAGGTGCAAGGGCACAAAGTGCGCATAAGACGATAATGTCTTTGTAGAAAAAATCGCAAAGGACAAAAAATAGATTTTTTATAGAAAGTTTTTGCTGTACAGAGCTCTATTTTGGCTTGAAATTAACTTCAGAAATTTTTTGTTGCCTGCGAAATTGCTGAATTTACTTTTTGTATCAAGTTCATCCACAAAGTTTTGATATTTTTTTTTGGGATTTCAAAAGGTACGGTGTTCTACGTGCGGCGCTCTGATTCTGATAAAACTTGGCTAGGATTTAGATCAGTGTTTCAGAAAGAACGTACAAAGTCTTAAGCCCCCTCCCCATTTCGCGCACTCCCTTTGAAAAAACAATTTATCTCGGCTGCCTCTGCCAAGCGCAAGCAAAAAAGCGTGCACGCTAAATTTGGGCTAATTCCGACCACTTTCCGCAAAGTTATAAGTTGTGGCCGAAATAAGGAACTTTTATCGAACCATAAAAAATTAGACTCACGAATTTTTATCCTCCAGTGAGGCCTTTGACCGATCAAAATGTTTTGCACTTCCTTCCTTTGGTCGGTCAGAATGTTTGGCACTTCCTTCTTTGGGCTGATCAGAAAGTCTGCCGCTGCCTTCCTTTGGTCGATCCGAAAGTTTGGCATTTTCTTCCTTGGGCTGCTGCTCATAAAGTTTAGCATTTTCGTACTGGGGCTGCTCATAAAGTTTGGCATTTTCTTCCTTTGAATGATCAGAAAGTTTGGCGTCTTTGTCGGGGAAGAAGTAATCGACAGCCTGCTTGACGAATCGAATGAAAAGCTCGATCAGTTGGCCAAGCAGATCCAACAGGATCATTAACAAATCCTGGCCTTCATTGGTGGTCGCCATTTTCGAAACAATCGACCGATTCCTTTTTCAAAATGAAAGTGTTTTTATTTGCTCATTTTCAAGAAATGATGAAAGAATTTGAAAGACGAGGTGATGATTTTTAGCAACGATTTGGCATACAATGGTAACATGAAAGACTGTAATAGAAATTTAGCACAGGAAATTTGTAAAAATTGGAAAATAGCCTCTTAAATATAATAGTAGATTAACAACCTAAATATGATGAAGATTCAAAAACCCGTCCATTTCTAGACCTTCAGACCCGAGTGATGGCATTTGAGGAGATCGCTGATTACATTCTGACAAACCAAATGCTGAAGTCCCAAAGAGCCCAGGCCATCGCGAGGATGACAAAAAACTTCGCATTGAGGTCCACTCTTCAGACTGACATTACTGGCATGACAACACTGTCGATTATCTTGCTGTTGGGAGGCGCATTCGAGGAAAGGTGCGACATTGAGGATACCACACTTGCCGGTGTCAAATTGGCGTTTTATCTGGAAGGTAAAATACGAGAATGGAAGCTATTGATTGATAAAATTTAGAACAAGTTTAGATAAATTTTTGCTGAGATAAAAAAAAACTCCTACTTCGCTGAAACGACCGAGATCTTATAGGTCGAAATTTGGCACACTTTTTCGCAAATTTTTGGTGTAGAAGTAACATAGCTATTTAGATTTTAGAAGATAACGTTTCCACAAAAATTTTTTATAATTTCCTGCCTCTGCGCATCTCACCAAGGGCCTTTCATTCAACTTTTTGCTTGCAAGCATGAATTTTCTTACCTCAGGTTGCGTAGTGTCAAACCGACACAACGGCAAGCAGCCCTCGGGCATATTCTTGCCTCTGCAACATCCCAACAATCTTCTGTTCGCCTCTTCTAATCCCACGCAAGGTCTGAAGTCAGGCGCCACTCCACATTGCCCAACATGACTTCCATTTCCACTCAGCAAAGTCGCCAAAGTTGAGGTCGCAATTTCTGGAGCTCGAGTTGGATGGATTAGTGATGTTGTCAATGCCTTGGGGCCTTTTTTCGGTCTTGGCGCTCTGGTTCCTGTGATATTAGAGATGGCTTCGATTGTGCGTTTGGAGAAGAGCGCGTCCACCACCACGTTAAATTCTGCAGGCAAGTAGGAAGATATTAGATTAGAAGCTGTTATTTCAAGTTAAAATGTTAGAGCAGGCTACTTGTTTAAGTTTAAAATGTTAATTACAGCGAACTTCCAAACTTACTGTCACTAAAAATCCCACCGCTTCCTAGACCAGTGCTATTTTTTGAAGGAGCTCCTTGAGCGGTTGAATTCTTCTCAAAGCCACGTTTGGAATGATTCCCCGTGATCTCAACGAACTCGTCCTTGTCCTCAGGTAATGGGAGATCTCTCTCGCTGAAAGTTTGAACAGAACTTGGCTGAATTTTGAATGACCATGGTACCCGACCATCAGGCTCTGGTCGGGTTGTTCGGAAGTGTGGAGAAGTTGTGACTCGCTCTGTATGACCTGAAAATATGAGCGGAATATATTACAACACCCACTGAAAAAAGATTTAACTGTAATCTCCCTTACTTCCAAGTGTGATCGACTGAGCAATTCCATCTTGAATGTCGCCAAAATGGTTCGAAACTGATTGTTTTTCAATCGTGGTTACAGCTGCATCCTCGCCTTCTAATTGAACCAAATCTTCAGCGCCTCCAGTGGATGGAGGCGTTATTACTCCACTCTTGGAAGCCTTGCCACTTCTCGAATTTGAATCTCGTTTTGACTGGCCGATTTGCCCTTGAGATCCTGTTGCGAGATCTTTCCCATTTGTCCAGGGGAGCAGCTCTGGCTGTGAGTCGATTCCAGAGGACGTTCCTTGACTTGTAGACCGCGCAGACCAATGCCCATTCCCCGCCGAAGTATCTGGAGGCGGTATTGATGATGAGCTTGTGAGATGTCCATTTTCCGATCCAAAGAACGGACCGAATTGTGGGATAACTGTGGTCGCTTGAATATTGGAAATCAACGTGGGAAAAGGTGTGGGCTCTGGAGGCCCGACAGTCGCCGGAACTGAAGCAGGAATACTAAAAGGATGCCCTCCAGAAGACGCATGAATCGACGGCCCAGAAGGCGGAGGGGCTTGCGGCAGTTGAGGAGGCTGAGGATTGATCCCAACGCCCTGTCGACTCTCCCAATCCGGATCCGGCTCCGCGGACGGTGGTCCATTAGACAAAGGAGTCCCGGCTGGTGGAAGAACAAGTCCAGGAGGAGGCTGAGGGTCGGGAAGAGGTGGCCGGAACGCTGGCTGTTGTCGAGAATGACCATCTCGGGGGATGAGTTCGGCAACTTGTGGGGTTGGTTGAGAGGGTCGAGGAGGCGGGGGTTGACCCCAAAGCGCCGGAGGAGGCTGCTGAGGCGGTGGGAATGAGCCAAAGGGAGGGAGGCCACCACCAGCGACCTGAGACATTGGAGGAAGTTGGGTGAGGAAATTGGCAATGAACGCTGGAATTTATTGGTAAAATACGAAATGGAAAGGGAAGGATTCTAGCAAGGAAAAAGCTCAAAAGAGACTTTCAGATTTTTTTCAAATTTAAATGCCTCTTTCCTGTCTACATTTGGCATATAAATTTTTTGAGAGTTTATCTGTGTAAGCTGTCAAAATAATCTTACGTCTCGGTCGATTACAAGGTGAGCCGCCGCAAATTTGTGGACAACTTTCCCTTATCCTCGTCGAACAACAATGTGCCGCAGTAAACCGCCGACAATCAAACGGAGCACCCGCAATTTGTGAAGACACCAGTGCCGATAAACAAGTCAGAATTGCAACGATATGCCTTACTTTCCATATTGATATAGCCATTGAAACTAAAATGATTCTATTCCCAAACGATGACATAAATTTTCAAAGTCAAATCCTCCCGCAACAAACCACGTAAATCCGTGAGATTACGACACGAATATTCTTGGTTATGCGTATTAAAAAGCAATAAATTTGGGGGATGAGAAGCGCTTACAATGTGAGAGCAAACAAAGCAGGAAGAAGATACCAAACAAGCGGTATTTGGCGCCCCTTTTATGTAATTCCACAAGATCGCTGCAACGAGATCTTTTCTTTTTTTATAAAAATCAGTTTTTTATTTCAAATCTCAAAATAAGTGGGGGATTACACGTAAATTGGGATTGGGTCAATGTGATGACGGATGTTCAAAAAACGGCTGATAAAAAATTTTTGAGGTAACAAGTTCTGTCAAGGATCATATAGAAATTTTCTTCAGGGGTTATATTTTGCATGAACAGCGCAAATTACCAATTTTAGCTAATGAAAATCTAAAATTTTTGCCAAAAATCAAAGATTCCGGGGAAAATGTGAGTATTCAAACTTTTAACCTAGACATCTCGGTCGTTTCTGCATAACGCGGTTTGAAATTTACTACGGTACCTTAGGAAGCCCTAAACTTCAAGGGGACCACTTTTGGCCAAAATCTGAAAGAGTAATTTATATCCATTTTTGACACTTTTCATCGTATAAAATGTCCTCCTCAAGAATTTTGAAAGAAATCACTATCGAAAGGCACAAAAAATCAAACGCGTCAAGAAATAAATTTCCTCGAAAAAATCATCAAAACTTTTTCTATCAACTCTTTTCTTTCCGCTACCGATAATCAATCCCTTTCCTCACTCCAATCCCCCTCCCCAAACAACAGGTAAAGCCCCATGCAAGAGGCGCTCAGCCCACCTACTTGATCTGTCTTTAACTCGTCGATGAATCATCAACGAAACCCCTTTGTTCGAAAGTGAGTTAACGACGCTTTATGTACATCGTTAAGGTCATCACACAAAGTAAAAATCTCAGTTACAGTGAGTCATGATGTCAATTATGACGTCAGAGGGGGTAATTGCAAACGAATTAGGGAATAAAGAGGGGATTTTTATCAGAATTATTAATCGTAAAGTCCGTCGTTTTGGGCGAAAATAGGAGAGATTTCAATGTTTTCACTTTCAAAGGTCTTCAATGCCAAAAAGCGAAAAGACGGCATGAATGGGGATGACGAGCGGGGATTTAAATGTATCATGTGGAAGGTAGGGAACGGACGAACGGCATTAAGTCGTAAAAAATTGCTATTACTAGATTTAATTTTTGAAAATTCGCAAAAAATTTTGGAAAAAAGGAAAAAATCAAAAATTAAAAAAAATGTCAAAACAGTCTGTCGAAAAAATCGGATCAAAAAATTTATTCGCTATAGAAGATCTTCGTTGTTTGAAAGCTTAATTTTGCCTAAAATTGACTCGAACAAGCCTTAAAATAGCTCGTTATAGACATATCTTGTTGTACTGGAATTTATTGTACAAAAATTCCGTTCTATCAAAATTACAGCACCCCTTTAACACAAAACAGAGATTTTACTGTAGCTTTTTTGCGGAACGTTCACTTTCGACCCAATACCACGAAAACAATTTATCCATTGTCTGGATGACCATGCAGCATCAGCGATGGATGACCACCGCCGAAGGGAAACTCGATTTTCAAATCACTGACCCATAATTGATTCAAAATTATATCCCCCCGAGGCGACAGCTCCCTTTTCGTTACCCGTTTGAGCAATATCTGGAATAATTCGAGCAAAAAGGAGCTTCTTTTTTGCATAATAATTATCGTCGTAGTTAGAGGAAAAGTAGTCGAAACGCTCAGGTTTCCTTCAATTTTGGCTCGACTTTCTGTCCTGGCCTTTGGTTCATTATTTGTAGCCACAAAATGGGGTGGGTCGGCTAGACATTACAGTTTTTGGCGACAAATTTGTGAATTCGGATTATAGGGGAAATGCCGAAGTTTTAAAAATGAGATTTTTTCAATTGTCATCGGGAATTTTATGCTGCGGGGTTCCTAACAATATTTTGATATTGCGGGGTTCCTTACAATATCAAAAAGCTGGCTGAACGCCAGCTTTTTGCTCTACTGCCATACCAAATTTCAGCCTTCCAGCGCAAACGGCTAGCGAGATACAGAGAGAAAAAGCAAGCGCATTCCGGAAAAAATACACTCCATTTCAAAATGATAGACACGCCTATCAAATCTGCAATTGCGGTGTCGGGGTGCAGTTGACGGATACGAAACCTTTACAGATTGAAAGAGGAGGTTTGAAAACCTATACCAAAAAATTATTTTTCTTATTGCACTGCAATTGCACTTTTCACAAAAGATTTTCCAAATTTTGGGTGTTTCAAAAAGATAGACACGGTTGCTATTTTTGCTAAAAACTTGCGAGTATGGGCCCCATAGGGTCTGAAATTATTAGTACGACTGTATTGCAACTGTCTGGACTTTATTGAGTTCAAAGCGCCCGAATTTTTGTGCAATTTTCCCGGAATTGCACACATAATTCCACTTTGTGCAATCTGGCCTGCATCTTTCAGAAGTCCATTTTCTATGGGCACAGACAGTGCAGATGCGACGTATCGTATGTAATGGACCAGATCCAATCAGTTTTCACTAGCATGCAACAAAAAAATGCGTGGAAATTGCAACGAAAACTGATTCCGCTGTTACATGGTCAGCTTTGAAGGCTACCCAACGTTTCGAAACAAGCTAGATGCAAAGAAAAACTGCATGATTGGAATGTTTAGGTTCTTGTAAAAACGTTTAAGTCTCTAGCATATGCAGCTTTGCTTCAACGGGTACGCAGTGCACCATTCTTTTGCAAAACTATGCGAAATAGGCTTAAAAATGGGTCATAAAGGGGTTTTTGAAAAACTTGACGTTTTCTGGTGTTGGCCCGACGGAATCTGGGCATAAGGCTTATTTAATAACGTTTGTTTGTTGATCGCCAAGATAGTTCAGAGCTTTTTGGGTTGTGAAAACCACAGGCACCCGCTTGAGGAGCTTTAAAAGTGACGACTATCGTTGCGAAATCAGTTTTCGTTGCAATTTCCACGCATTTTTTTGTTGCATACTAGTGAAAACTGATTGGATCTGGTCCATTACATACGATACGTCGCATCTGCACTGTCTGTGCCCATAGAAAATGGACTTCTGAAAGATGCAGGCCAGATTGCACAAAGTGGAATTATGTGTGCAATTCCGGGAAAATTGCACAAAAATTCGGGCGCTTTGAGCTCAATAAAGTCCAGACAGTTGCAATACAGTCGTACTAATAATTTCAGACCCTATGGGGCACATACTCGCAAGTTTTTAGCAAAAATAGCAACCGTGTCTATCTTTTTGAAACACCCAAAATTTGTAAAATCTTTTGTGAAAAGTGCAATTGCAGTGCAATAAGAAAAATAATTTTTTGGTGTAGGTTTTCAAACCTCCTCTTTCAATCTGTAAAGGTTTCGTATCCGTCAACTGCACCCCGACACCGCAATTGCAGATTTGATAGGCGTGTCTATACTCCACGTACAATGTTTTGACCCCCCTCGTAACTCGGTCCAAGGTGTACTAATTCGGACCAAGTTTGGTATGTAGTATACTCACAGGCTAGTAACAAAAAATAACATAGCTGGACCTACTTTATAGTTGAATTTCAAAAGCTAGGGGCAATTTTCAAAAATCACCTTAAAAAATCGAGGAAAAAGTTTTGACCCCCCTTAAAAAAAGTTAGATATCGCCAGCGGATGCCACGCAAACTTATTGTAATCGACGTCCCATACCTGAATACAGGTTAATATATGGGTTTCCGTTGAATTGTTCGTTGCATTTAAGGATTCAACGCGTTAAACCGTTTTTGATGTAGAGCTGCCCAAAATTGTAAAAATCTTGCCCTAGCGCTTTTCTAGAGCTCTAAATTTGGTTTATATTATGTGCTTTAGACCTGTATTTACTTTCTCCTTTCAATAAAAGTGCATGGTGGCCTGGCGGTGTAGATTCGGCAGATACCCTCTTGTCATGCCCAGCCTCGGTGAGCCATTTGCTCTTTGACTCAAGGTCGAGATGTGGTCGTTAGGTCCTCAGTATAATCCTGAGACTCCTAGTTACTCTCAAACAAAGAATAAACTCCGGCTGACACGGTCTCTTATGGTTTGCAGGCGCAACTTCGCCGATCTGCACCTTAACGAAAAACCCGCGTTTTTCAAATGGATTTTTAGCCACCAAAAACGGCTTTCATTTGGTGGACCTAGAGGTGGCAATCGGGCCGGGCCGGGCCGATTTTTGCGGCCCGGCCCGCGGGCCGAAGTGACCAGGCCGGCCCAGGGCTTTTTTAAATTTGCTCAGGCCCGGCCCGGCCCGGCCCGATGAAAGCCCAGGCCGGCCCGGCCCGGCCCGGTTTGGCCCGCTAATACAGAAAAGTTGGATGAAAGTCTTTGCACTTTCTACTGGAAGTTCTTATGCTTTCCAGAAGGTTTTTACGTGTGTCTGTGCGAAGTTAAAAAGTCTAGTCGGATGACTGGAACATCCGTACGGGTAGCTAAAACCTACAAGGGGATGGTCTGAACTTCCCCCAGCGTTAGCCAAAAAGTTGGATTGTGTTAAATTTTTAAATCCTATAGGAAGTTAGCTATATAAAAGTATGGACGTTATAAGGTACATGGTTAACCAAAAAATGTTTAAACACTTTCATTTACATCAAGGAATCAAAAGTACAGTGAAATTTTTAAATTTATCATAAAAAATTGAAGATTTTTGCCCGACCCTTGCATATTTGGGTGGGATTTTACATATACCTAATAAGTTACATACACATATACATAATTTTAAAAAGTAGTAAAACAGCGTATAAGTCAAAAAAAAGTTTAATCTAATTTCCATCCATTCTACAAAGCATTTGTGCTTTATTTTGCTGGTTTAGCATTAAAAAATTTTTTACTTATCTACCTTCCGGGCCGGGCCGGGCCGAAAGCGTTGGCCCGGCCCGCGGGCCGAAGCGGTCAGGCCGGCCCAGGGCTTTTTCAAATCTGCTCAGGCCCGGCCCGGCCCGGCCCAATCACCGGGCCCGGCCGGGCCGGGCCGGGCCGGCCCAGCCCGATTGCCACCTCTAGGTGGACCAGGTAATTTAAGACGCTACAGCACCCACCATACTCATTTGAGACGTATGAAACGCCAAATGGGAGGTGGGGATGTAATAGTACTCGGGGTCATCTACAGTAACGGCAACGTTAAGATTAAGGTGAATGAAACCCATTACAAAACGTGTCAAATCAAAACATTTTACATTACTGAGAGTAGCTAGGAGTCTCAGGATTACATTGAGGACCTAACGACCACATCTCGACATTGAGTCAAAGAGCAAATGGCTCACCAAGGCTGGGCATGACAAGAGGGTATCTGCCGAATCTACACCGCCAGGCCACCATGCACTTTTATTGAAAGGAGAAGGTAAATACAGGTCTAAAGCACATAATATAAACCCAATTTAGAGCTCTAGAAAAGCGCTAGGGCAAGATTTTTACAATTTTGGGCAGCTCTACATCAAAAACGGTTTAACGCGTTGGATCCTCAAATGCAACGAAGCATTCAACGGAAAACCATTTATTAACCTGTATTTAGCTATGGGACGTCGATTACAATAGGCTTGCGTGGCATCCGCTGGCGATATCTAACGTTTTTTAAGGGGGGCCAAAACTTTTTCCTCGATTTTTTAAGGTGATTTTTGAAAATTGCCCCTAGCTTTTGAAATTCAATTATAAGGTAGGTCCAGCTATGTTATTTTTTGTTACTGGCCTGTGAGTATACTACATACCAAATTTGGTCCGAATTAGTACACTTTGGACGGAGTTAGGAGGGGGGTCAAAACATTGTACGGGGAGTAATATATCATTTTGAAATGGAGTGTAGAAAAAGTCGCAGATATCGGTTGTGTCCCAAAAATACAGAATGCCGTGGGCCGTAAATTTGTGCATTCCGGTATGCAAATTTATGAGGTTTTTATAGTATAAAATTTGAAGTAAATTTGGATTTCTTTCTACCTCGCGTTTTACAGAAACGGCCGGGATTTTTAGCAATTTTTCCTTCTCAAAACTTCAAAAAAAATTATTTTATTTTTCATCAATTTCCAGGCCAACTTTCTATGGCTTGCTACGAATATTTTGCCTTCCAAAACCAACGCCCAAACTTATGGTTACTATTTATTTTCGTAACAAAAATTGGGATTGAAGAAGTGCGAGTTACAACATCGAAGAATATGGAGAGAGTTGTTGCCGACGACTGAGAGTAATCGTAATGAGTAGGATACAGTAAAAGGGAGAAGTTTTTCTTGGTTTGAAAGCAACTGTGGAGGTTTAAAGGCAACTTCTTTTTTTTTAATCGTTCGGTTTCTTTTTTGCGGGAACAGAAACGCGGAGCTTTGCGCGGGCAACTTTGAGGGAGGGAATTCGAGTCGTTTCGGGTGCCGGAGATTGCTTTGTATTCGCCAAGACGGTGGAGGGCATAACAGGAAATATAAAACAAAAAATTTGTGGATTGCGAATTAGACAAATGTACTCAAAATATTGTGATGTTATGCCGTCGGACGGTCTTATGGGAAGGGACAAACAGGGTCTCGAATAGAAAGCATTGGCAAACTTGATTTCAAGGGGGAAATTATTCGTTTATCGATTTCTTTTTTCTTGGAATTACAGTAAGACGAAGGAAGAGGACTTTTTGGGGGTTTGGGCAGTCAGGTCTGAAAGAAGTTTAAGAATGGGGCACAAAATGGATCACAATTCAGCTGAATGGCATTTTAGGGCGAATCTGGGGATGAGACGGAGCAGGAGAGTGGCTTGGGAGGGTGTGGAAAGAGGGGACCCAAATTCTAATATTTTTAAATTTAGCTGTATCCTTGAATTTGAATCGCTCTTATTTCAAAATTAACTATGGGAAATACGACGAGCCGACACATCCAGAAGATAGCCAGGTGCATTGCGCGCGCCTTGGGCACCTTCTGACTGTTCGACGGTCGCTTGGATGGACCCATCGCCTCACTCGACCCAATCATTAAACGCTGCGTCAAAGCCGGAGGCCATTTGTGATTATGGAATGGCGCCGGCTTTTAATTGAGTCATTCTCGGGGGAGATGGGCTTAGGGGAGGATGGGAGATGGTCCAAAAAAAGGTTTAAACAACCATGTTCAGTCCTATGATACTCTAAAAAGCGGTCAAATATAAAAAAAATAATCTCTAAAGTCTTGAATTCAATAAATTCAAGGGCCAATTTCACCTAAATCACCAAAATTTTCAATTTTCCGAAACTAAATTTCCCGCATAAGACCTTTCCGAAACACGTGAATCCCCGCCAAAAAACAGCCAAAAGAGGAGAGGAAATCGAAAAAACAGTGACCTGAAAAGTATCGATATATAATAATATGAATAAAACGGGGGTCTTGATGGATGTGTTCTGGTCGTCCATGGAGACACAAACACGCGTTCCGAGACTGAGAATGGAGCGAAAAGAAAGTGCTAGGGATTTCGACTGAGGCATTCTGGGCGAGATTTGGAGGGCTTAAAAAAGGGTGACGGGATTACTGTAGGCATACTGTAACCCCCGTATTGCTGCAAAAATGAGATGTGGGATTACGGTAGGTATACTGTAGAGCCCGAATTTCATCCGAACCACGAAATTTGTCGTTAGATTCGCGTGTTTGAGACACCCTTTGCCTAAATTTTAAATCTTCTTACCTACCGTATACCTACAAATTTAATTTCCGGCCCCATTTCCCGCCCGTTTCGTGATTGACAAAACTTTTTCCGGTGTGAGGATTTAGACTTTATGAGACGGTGAAACCGATGCTTTTCGATGGGAGAGGGCTACAACCAGATCCGGACCACAATTATATTAACCATAAATGAGGAGAGGGGAGGAAACAAACAGTCCTATTAAGAGAAGGATTATGATATTCGAAGGCGAGAAGCGCAAAACAAAACAATCGATTACTGTACTTGATATAACTACCGTGGAGAAAATACATTATGAAGAGGCTATGAAAATTTGAAAGGGTAAGAAATGTAAGGTAAAATCAGGCAAAATACATGACCGAGTTGGCGTCGGGATGGACTTGGACGGCGCGGGCCATGTTGGAGAGGGTCGTGTCTTCACTGGTGCCCGAAGGCTGGCTGCCTTCGCCACTAAAAATCGCAAAAATTAGAAAAAATTAAAAAAAAAATGTCATGGATAATATAATATGCCTAAATTTAGGCTAAACTCTCTGGAAGTCCTAGTGAAATCCCCAAAGTGCTAAAGAAATATCCTACATTGTATATTTCAGCTAGTAAACACCCAAAATTAGAAATTTTCATCATGTACAATATAACCAAATGCCCAAATTTGACAAAAACTCAGAACAATTCTTACCAAAAACTCTATGATCAACCCATAATGCCCAAATCTCCCCTCAAATCCACTCCCCACATACCTGTCATGATCTCTGTCCACCAAGTGATACCTGGCGCGGAACGCCACCAAATGGGCGTAGTAGGCGGGCGCGGGGATGGAGACGGACCGCGTGCAGCGGACGTATGTGTGGCACATCTGGTAAGTGAGTTGTTGGAGTTCGTCGGCGGAGAGGCAGTTGTCGTCCCAGAGGACGTGGTAGTGGCTGGGCCGGGAGGTGCCCTGGATGCCGGCGTGCGAGCAGAGGTAGAAGTCGAATTCGGTGGGGTGGGTGATGCCGACGTCCACGGTGGTGCCGGGCGGGATGTTGAAGGCCTTGCCGACCTGGTCCCGCTTCTCCACCGCGAACAGGCGGGTGTGGTGGCGTTTCTGGACGGCGATGAACGTGATGCCGGGCTGGTAGCCTCGTTCCAGCATCATGCATGCCTCGCGCATGGCGCGCAGCTCCTGTTGGAGGACGTTGAAGAACTGGCCCTCCGACACGCCGTCTCGATACATGACGATTCGGGTGGGTTTGAAGCGGGTGTTGCGGTAGAATTGGACGAGGAGTTCACGGACCATCCACGTCAGGTCGGTGATCGTCTCGTTGCGGTGTTGCTGGACGCGGACCGTGGCCGCATACCGCGACGGATGCGCGTCCATGGAGCCCACAACAGCGGCGATGGAGGGCTTCCGGGAGTCCCCTAAAACCACTTCAATCATGACGTAATTTGTTTCCAAATTAAATGACAAGCTTTAAAAAAATAAATAATTCCAACCCAATTCCAAGCAGAGTAAACTCAAACTGGCGATAGGAAATTTCATAAAACCTCCAAAAAATGCAAAAAATTTTACAAGGAAAGTACTTCAATGGGGTAACAGGTCGTGACATATATCAAAAAATCGCAATTTTTTTCTGATTCAGAATATGTAACAATTAGCTGCCTAATTTTGGTTTATTGGGGTGAAAAAATCCTCAGAACCTTTCTCGCAACACCATGGAAATGCTTTGACAAAGTTTTTACCAAATCAAAAGCTTTGTTTTGAGCTAAAGCAAACCCTGGCATATTGAAAAGCCTTAAAAATCAAATTTTATTAATACAACGCGACGCCCTAATTAAGGTGTAGTATTAATCAAGTTTGATATTTTAAGGCTTGTCAAGATGCCAGGGTTCACTTTAGCTCAAAAACAAGCATTTGATTTGGTAAAAACTTGGCCAAAAAGGCATTTGCGTGGTGTTGCGAGAAAACTTCTGATGATTTTTTCACCCTTACAAACCAAAATCAGGCAGCTAATTTTTACATATTCTGAATCAGGAAAATTTTGCGATTTTTTTGATATATGTCACAACCTGTAACTCCATACCCCATAGAAGTACTTTCTTTGTTAAAATTTTGGCCTCAAATCCTCTACCGAAAGCCTCTTACCTGCTGGTGGATGGGTAATATCCGCGCCCAAGAATATCACCGGCTCGTTGAAGATGCGTGGGCGAACGTTCGGCAAGAGGATCGAGTTCACTCCGCCCAGTTTCACGTTCATTTTCAGGCAGAGGTTGGAAAGCGTTTGGGGCGTGGTCTTGATCACATTCTTGGCTTGCACACATTGGGTGGCGATCCCGAGCACGGTGTCGCCTACACGTTTCACTTCGGCGTAGACCGGGGTTTTGCCTGGCAGCACGACGCAGACTAATTGGAGACCTGAAACGAGCGAAAAATTAAAAAATTTTTTTTTTCAAAATTTCATCATGGATAATATAATTTTTTCCCAGATTTTCAAAAATTTTCCGTTTTTTGTGCCAAATTTACCTTGAAAGTTTTGTTTGAGGTATTTGAACATGGGTTCGACCTGATCGACGCCGACGGCGTACTTGCAGAAGCACGGCTGCCCGATGATGGGCATGCCGGCGTCGCTGGAGATGCGTTGAAGTTGAGAAGTAAAGTTGCGCAGATCGTTCTCCTTGACGTGTTGTTGTTGGGCGAAGCAGGCGATGGCCCAGATTTTGACCTCGATTCCGGTGTGGAACTGTTTGCCGCGCATGTCCCAGACGCCTTGGTTGGGGAGGGCGGTCATCTTGTTCCTGCCGCCGTACAACAGTTTGGGGGCGCTCAGGATGCGGCCCTTCACTTCGGTCATGTTGGAGTTGATGCTGATGCCGAACTCTTGGGCGTAGGGGTCGTTGGTGAACTCGGCCCGCTTCACCAGACTCGCAATCTCTCGCTCTCTTTCGGGCGCCGATCTGGCCGTCGCCTTGATCATCGTGGAGGTCTGGATGTCCGTCAATTTCTTGATACACCTCTGGCCCGACACAATCTCACAGACTTCTGGCGGCAGGAACGTGTGCTTCTGTTCCTGGCCCACTTGGAGACACGGAAGATGGGGGTATTTGAGCTGCATATGATACTTGTCGGCAAAGTATTTGGCCACGGTGCATTCGACGGTTTGGCCCGACTCCAGCAGCAGGGGGAAGGTCTGAGTTTGGGCGGGACGACGGGTCACATTGCACACCCGATACTTTCTTCGCATCTGACCACAATGGTTGATTTCGATTTTGAGACCACGAATTTCTTTGGTGAATTTGACTCGTTGAGCGTCGCTGAGTGTGCGACGGTCGGAAAGCGCTTGGACTGGCAGTTCGAGGACCTCGGCGATGAATTCGATCACAGGCATTTTGCGGTAGAAGGCAGTGGCAGACACTGAAATATTGAAGTCAAAATTTGCCATGAATAATATAAAATTATTAAAATCTCTTGTCTGGACGCTTGGAAACTAAATTCAAGAACAAAACAAAAACTCTACTTACCGTCAATATTGAGCATCATTTTGGATTGACTCGGCCTCACACTTTGATGGAATCCGAACCAAACTTCCCTTCCTCCACCCAATTTCGAATCTCCTGAGTGATAAGATGGACCACCAGGTCCTCCATGATGTTGTAGTTGACCAGCCGGAGGAGAGAAGAAGGATCGTCCAACCGGAGTGTACTTTGTAGAGGGCAAGTGCCTGAGGATAACATCCATGGCTTGAACCGAGTTCAATGGGACATCTCTGCGGAACCCACGAAGAGCATCGTCCAATGCCTTCAATGAGACGGTCTCCTTCCATTGGAGTGCAACCGAGAACCTGCGATCCACCGGAGAATCTCCAGGCATTGTGACTTCGAATTCACAGCGTTCGAAGCCAATGTTTGGAATGGGTTGACGGGTGTACATGGACTTTTTCCCGTCGTACACTGGCTTGATATTAGAGAATTGCTTGTAAGATTCGATCATCTTGTTGATAATTTCCCTAAAAATTGAAAAAGATAATATTTTAGGTAGCTAAATCAAGTATAACCATGATTCTTCGATTAAAACTAAATTTAAAATAAATAAAACTTGAAGAACACAAAACCCTTACCGATTAACCTTTCTGGGACACTTGTCGGGTTGGATTTCCACCAAATAAAATTGAACTTCATGAGCAGCGATCTGAACTTGGAAGTGATTAGCTCGTAAGGCGATTTGTTTTCCTTCAACACCCGGCCCGGGACGGCGCGGAGCAACGAAAGATGACGAGGTACCCATAATCGGCTGGCCTGGCGCACCCAGACCCTGGCCGCTGAAAGAACTGAAAAAAATATATTATTCTAGGTACTTGAAGATGCGTGAATCAAAAAAAGGCAAAGAATTTGGAGCACACGGCTTCATGGCTTTACCAAAGCTTCTGCGATGTCTGACGGATATAATCGACATCATTTTACCAAAAACTTTGACGTTTCCAATGATTTTCCGATGTTATCCCTCAGCTACCTAAACCAACACAAAACAAACAGAAAATTTATTACCTGGAGATCTCTTGAGAGGTTTGTGAGGAACCAATTGGTGCACCCGGTGCCAGACTACCAATCGGTCGAGGTTGTTGCGATTGTTGGCCGCTGGGCGTCCCGACGTCGAACCCGCCCGGCTGTCCGAACTGACTTTGGCCTCCCAGCATTTGGTTGACGTACATGTCGGTGAACGGCATCTGCGGCTGGTAACCCATTTGTGGGGGGCCCGGCGCCAACGTGTATTGGCCGGGTCCGAGTGGAGGCCCACCCATGATGCCGCCCATGTACATGGGGTTGTTGTTGTCGCCGACCGTCAGTGCTTCTAAATGCGGGATCAGGTTATGGATGGCCATATTCTATTTATCTATTCATGTAGAGTGTTAGATGAAATGTTAGGGAACCTGCGGGCGGCAAAAGAGGATCCAATTTCCCACGGATTTTCTCGGATTTTTGTTTCGCAGGCTGCGCCCGATCTTCTGCAGACTGCTGAGGAAAAATTTTCTTTCTTGGCCAATTTCGGCCGAATTTTTTGTGGACTAGCTATCACATGACTTTTACGGCATGCTTTCATTGTTAAAGCAAAATATAAATGCTTAGCTCCAAATTTTTATATTACACATGAGACCAAAATCATGATTTTGTTATAAACTATGGTTTGATTTTTACGATAAGTGTAAAATTGGCTTACCCAGCATCATCATGGTCTGTTGGTCGAGCATGGGTGTTTCCACATCATGAGCGCCGCCCTGTTGTCCTCGCTGTTGGTTGGGATTCTGGGCTTGGTGGCCGCCTTGTTGGGCGGCACCACCACCGTTCGGGTTCTGCGAGGGATCAATTTTGGCGCCTAGAGGATCAATTAGACTATATTCTTTCCTTTCACTGATATTTCCGTTAATTTAAACGCGCAATTTCAAATCATGACGTGAATTACGACTTTAATACCAAGTGTAATATAAAAGATGGCGAATAATGAAGTGCACTTGCGGCTCACGGCTTCAAGAAGCACGAGGTGACAACAAGGCTTCATATTCAAGCGAAATGTCATACTTTTTTCGCCCGAGCACTTCTGCTTTTATAACCAGAAGCCTAATAACCCGCAGGAAATTAAATTACTTGGGACGGAAAAGATGTCATCAAAATAATTATTGTAGACCCCCAGACATTTTTTATGCCTTTACAAACCCTAGACATTTGGTTTAGAATATAAAAAGTGATACTACGAAGGCCACGATGACATGACTTATATTACTTTAGAGATCAGAATTCGGTCAAAATTTGTAATTTAATTCGGTTGATTAACGAAATTGGGAGAAGAGGAAGCCGGGGAGAAGGGGGAAATTACACTAATTGATGTAAATAGGTTAGTTTTGTTTGCAATTCATTTGTTTTTCTTTACAAACAAGCCCACCGAGCGGAGTCCAAGTTACTTTTTAAGCCGCAGACAATGAAATACGACGGTTTAAACCCCCAATGACGTTTTTTTCACATAGTAAATCTGACTTCTTGGACATATTATCCACTTGTAACTCCTCGTTGACGTCCAACCTTGGGAATATAAGCCATAAGCCAACTCAGGTTTCGACAGAAAAAAAGGCGGATATTACAAAAAGAAAGGGCTCTCGCCGCGAATGGCTTGTAACTTCTCCGTGTTTGCGGATTTACGGAACAAGCTTGTAGTAGGAGAGCGAAATTTACAAACAAATTGGGGGAGATTATATTGTAATTGTCAAGAATGATGATCAATTATATTATTAGAGCTGTTTTGATGGTAATCTTGGGAAAAAATGCGTAAATTTGGGGTGCAAAATGCTTGAAAAAGAATATTTTTATATTAACAAACAGTTAAACGTAGTAAAAATACTTTAAAAACAACAAAAATTCAACGAATCGAAGCCGCCAGGGGCTTCGGAAACCACATAAATTTCGATAAAGAGGATGCGTCACACCGCGTTGGAGCCCTCTTTTCAGTCCTCAAATTCACCTCCAGCTCTTCGAAATGGAGGCGAAATGTGAAGAAAGTACAGTGAAAATAGCAAAACAAAGCACTCCCGCTTATCAACCCAACAAAACAACACTCCAAAAAAACATCTTTTGCAGCGGCGGATACCGAAAAGATTGGCGGATTTCTCCGCTCTCTGTTATAACCAAGACGGCTGAGGGCAGTCACACACAAAACGAAGCTGAGTGGGGGCGCTGCGGACTCTCCCGTCGCTGCAGAAATCCCTGCAAAGAGAGCGGGCGGGAGAGAGAGGGGGCAGAGAGCGAGACACTCCAACAAGTTCCATTGCTTTTTCGGATGGAAGGGTGCGTTTGCAATGTGCGTATGGGCCGAGAATATGGGGAGAAGACAACGGAATTTAATGGGATTTGATGTGCAAAAGGGGTTTGACAATAAGGAATTCATTAGGAATATTAATTTAAACAAAGAATCAAAAATTCGGCTCTACAGTAACCCATATAAAATTACAATAATATACTTACAATATAAAGAAATCTACTTTCTTCTAGCTCCCTTAAACTGACCACTCTATCCTTAAAAAACTTTAAAAAAAATTTTTTTTGATTGTTTTTGCAATCCTCTTTATAAAAGAAATTGAAAAAGTCATCAAAAATTCGTTTTTTTTACAGAATTGTAAAAATCCCCTCATATTTTAAAACTCGACATGGCGTTATAATATACAATTCGAAGCTGTGTGCCCCTATTCTTCCGTGGAAGTGCGTATACCTCGCCCTTCCCTCCTTTCCTCCGTTTATTCGCACCGTCCACTAGCCCAATCTTCTGTCTTCCTCCCCTCGAAACACCGCGTTTCCCGAGTTCTCCGCACGCTCCGTGTTTCTCGCTCTATTTCTCGTCGAAGACACCACCCGACACCAATCGCCACCGCAGCGAAGTGTCGTCTGCCGCGCTAGGCGTCTCTTTTTTTGTATTATCCTTGCGGGTTGGAAGGGCGTTGGGAATGCAGCTGCCCTATGACCCCCCACGGATCGCTTTTTCGCTCTTTTTTTAACGAATAACTATGAGAGGCGTTGAGGAGAGTTGGCAGAAGGAGTTTGGGCGCCGAATGCCAAGAGAGCTGCGAGTTGCGATATGATCTTTGCTCCTTCCCGTGTTGTAGATGTTATTAGGCGAAAAAGCTCAGCCACAGAAAAAAGTTTTGACGATAGCTTAAGGAAATAGAATGTAGATTAACCTCCGGTAATATGGGCGTGTAAAAGCCCTGCTTTTTAAAGAACAAAGCTATCTGGACCTTGTACTTGATGTTTTTAGACATCTGATGACTGCTGCAATATAATATAAATCTTGTGTTCCTCAAGCAAAATCGAGTATTCTTTAGGCAATGGCTGAGTTTAGTAAGGCTTCTTTTACTATTTGCGATATAAAAAAGTCACGAAAGCGAATAAAATTAAAGTGAGTATCATGTATTTGGTATTTTTCGATATGCCATTCTTCCGTTCTTTCAAATCTCATCAAAACATCTTCTATCTAGTAATATTTACATGACACTTCCGTTCTCTCGATCCTCCACCACATCAGGAATGTCCTCATTCTTTGTCTCGGGCAAAACCGCCAGCCCAGCCAGCCAAGAAGCGGCCATGATTACAGTTGTTATACACAACGCGGCGTCCGACCAAGCAAAACTATTTAGGCTGACAAGCTGCGGGGCTAGGCCACCGCCGATCCTCTCTACCACTCCAAACGTCCCAACAGCAATGGCTCTCATCAGAGTGGGGTACAGCTCCATACTGTACTGTTTGTAGGCAGTGAAAAAGATTGAAGAGTTTACCATGGCTCCAGACATCGCCAGGACAGTTCGAATGATCTTGGCCGAATATACATTGGGCACGAGGCCAAAAACTATGACGCCAAGATAGCAGATAATACTGAAGGCTGAAAAAAGATGATAATTATGCGAAATGGCAATGATAATTACCTTGAGAATACAAAAAGAGACTTCTTCGACCAACTGATGAGGAATGAGTCTCAACGAAAACAATAAAGAATGGAGTCCAAAGACGAAGCACCCCGTATAAAACCATGTTCAGAAAGGGATCTCCGGCCAAAATCTAAAAAGTGATAATTGAAATTACCTAAATTTTAAAACGATTTTTAATGATAACAACTAAAGACCTACCTGGATATCAAAAATGATGACTCCACCGCATAGTTCGACCGTTAATGCTGACAAGATCATAACAATTGAGTAGGAAAATAAGTGCTTATGAGCGAATAAATCGGCAAATGTGTAGGTCTGCTCCCTGAAACATTGAATAATGATATTATTTCGCTAAAATTTCTTACTTCTTCTCTGATTTGACATTCATATTCTTCAATTTTGTCTCATCGAAACGTTCATTGACCCGGTTCCACCAAGCAATCCGATTCAACGCCATTGCGGCCTCGGAATATCGTCGTTTTTGGATGAGCCATCGAGGAGATTCCACCCAGAAGAGGTACATCAAGAGCAAAACTGGAGAGCAGACTCCGTTGATGAGGAGCAAGTATTTTCTCCAGTCTCGGACCAGCCACGCGATCAAAGCGGCTACCTAGAATGGTGCAAAGTTATAGTTTCCTAGAGCCCACATTTTCTTTAAATCTTTGCATACGTGTTTGGACTAGGTCACATATTAAACAAGGTCTAGTTTGCGTTTTCCAGCGGTTATTTGTATATTAAACAATCTCTTTTATTGAGAGAGCACGTATAGAGAAAGAGTCAACTAGACAAAAAACATTTTCTTCTTATAGATGCCCTTCTATGACAAATAGTTTTCTGGTGCTTTGCGATTTTTTACACAAATGTCTGACTGAATGTGTTAACTGTTTATCTAACCCATTGCTTTGAGTCTTCGTTGGAAGTCTAGAAGTTGGCCTACCTGCATAGAAACGGTCCATTGGAACGCCAATGTTTGAATAATTCGATATTTGGGACCAACTTGTTCTGTTGTCAGTGTCATCAACGCATCAATCAATATTCCATAAGCTAGACCCATTCCAAACATCGCCACAAAAAGCAATATGGCGTTTGGGGAGAATCCTCCAACAAATCCAAATAAAGTCATCAAAAAAGCCCCTGAGTTAGTGATCCATTTCCTGAAATTAGTTGACATGTATTATCATCATAATTTGCATAATATTGCGGTAATTTATTTTAATTTTACCTTCCATAACTATCAGCCAGGTGGCCTCCAAGAAGGGCGCCGATTCCGCTGCCAACCGCTTGTAGGGTTTGCATATGATTGGGTAGATAACTGTGAGGACATACGAACCCGTTGTCTTGATATAAGGAGTAAAATGGGCTTCGGGTTCGGTTTAGGGGACATTGATCGATGCGGGAACAGACATCCGGGATTTGCTGAAAAATTATGACTTAAAAAACGATGACTAAATAATTATGAGTTTTTGAATGTAAAATACGATGTGGAGTATTGGAGGCACATGCAATGCCTTTTTATAATATTTTTAACAATAAAAATGTTTGTTTTTCAACAAATTTTTTGTACGATGTGCAATACTGACGGCACTCACATTCACTTCTCCAATCTCGCATTCCGGCTTCAATGTGGCAAATGAGACAAATAAATAGTTTCCAGCAGAATTTAACATGATATATTGGACCAATAAGAAGGTCAGAAATTGGTATCTTCCATACTGTTTTATGACGTCAAATACTTTCTCAAAACTTTGGGATTTCACTGGGTCTTTAAAATCATCGCTACAATTTACTGATCCATCCGAAGCCGAGTGCTCCGAAGAGGAAGAGGATACGCCTCCGGGCGATTGCATTAGCCTGGAAAATGAATACTAAGTAATTAATTGGAATTGGGAAAAACTGTGACAAAAAATGTGATAGAAGTCTCACAATTGTCAATTAAAAAAATGGGCTGTCTAATTGAACATCTCGAAATATGAAGAAAAATGTAAAGTCATTGCCAATTTCCGACCAAAAAGGCTCGTTCATTTCTGCAAGATGCGATTCAAAAAGTCATCTAAATTTGTGCCAAGTTTCATCAAAATTTAAAGATCATAATTTGAAAAATTTTCCGGTTACTTAAGGTTGGTCGAACTAGAATTGAGGGAAACGCCCTTACAAGGAAGCCTCTAGAACTCTCCACCGAAATAAACAGTTACGAAGATAAGCGCGGCCGTTATCTCGTTTTATTACACCTAAACACATGCAACCTTAAAACCCTATTTGTTTGACTTGTCAGCCCTTTAGAGGCGTGAAATCAATTTTACAAAAAAATATTACTTTTGGTATTCCATTGCGACTGTTAAACTGTAAAACTTCGATCAAACTTCAACGGATTAGTCGAATTCTTATCGTTTAGTGAGAATTATGTAGTTGGAGCGACAACAGTGGAAAATATATTATACAGTGAGGATCGGAAAGAGCAGGGCTTTGGGAAGGGAGGGGGATCCTCACTTTGGAATAATATATACATCATGTGGGAAGGGTAACTGATTTGAGAGCAGGTCAAAATTGAGCTAAGCATTAATATTAATTCGAAGAAAACGTGGTATGGAAAGATAATGCAATGAGGGAATGCTTGCAAAATGATTTAAATGACGTCATTATTAACGGAATTTTGAGGCTGGAAATTTGGATTTTCATGAAATTTTTAACAGGCAAGTCTTCAAGTAAAGGTACTCAGATTTTATTAAAAATTTGCATGCCATTTCTGAACTAACCACATATAAAACTCACAAAGTTTTAGCTCTTTATCTTCATCAACACTGCTGATTTTAAACGGCAAAGTTTTGCGAGAGAGCATGTCAAGTGCGGAGAGTCGGCATGACAAAAAACGGTTTTTGCCTTTTACTTTTTTTTGTGAAAAATTTGAATTTTACCGAAATAAACATATGTACATACGCCGTGCTAGTAGTTGATCCTAAAATTGTGAAGTCGAAAATCGCAAAAAGGTATTATTTTTGGTCAATTCAAGAGATACCATATATTTTTGGAACGAAGAAAATCTAGAAAAGCTTGGAAAATTATGCTCTCTTGTAACTTGTCCTATGTCAACGACTTGCTTATTAAAAAAATGCCCGATCACTTACAGTATCCCCAACCCACACTCACAAAGTAGAGCCCCAAGTATCTCCCTCCAAAACAACAAAAATCCGCAACATGAAAACCCATTCCCAATCACCCATTAATCAAGAATTCTATTCGTATAATTTCCGTAAAATACCGACCGAAGTCACCTCATTAACCTCATCAGTCGGCCTCTCCGCTTTCCTTTACTTTTACTACGAGAAAGAAGAGATTCGGAGTCCTTGAACATGTAATAAATACCCGACGACGTGAGGGTCGAAGGGTAGCGGTATTCAAAAATTTGGAGAGTGGCTGGTTTCCGCGGTTAATTGCTGACGAAATTTTTGTCAAATTGCCGGAGGAAAGGGATGACAAAAAGGGGAAAATTTGAAGTTTGGTCATCCAAAAAGACAAAATTTTTTTTTGGTTTTTCAGCCAATGACATTTGAAGTTTTGTTTGGGATTCCGCCCAATGAAAGCTTACCATAGTAAAATTAACTAGGTAAAAGAAAAAGAGATTTTTCTTTGACCGTCTCTCCACATTTTTCATGATCTCTCGTTCGCGAAGCTCGTTGAATATCTTTTCGTTCCATGCAAAGCGCAAGCTAAAATTTTCAGAAATTGATATATGGCCCAAATAGAGCATATATGCAAAATTTGAAACGAATCTGACAGTAACCCCCTGAGAAATTCGATTTTTTAAAACCGAAACCCCCTGGAAACCCGTCGTATTTTCGGACAACATAAAATTTGATTGTAAAACCCCATGTCAACTCACGACGTGACTTATTTTAACTATGTGAAGTTTATTCAGTTTGGACTGTGTTAATTTCCTTTTTAATTTTTCCTTCCGTCGAAAACTTGATTTCCAATTCGACCTCGCTGGAGACGAAAGTCCTGGTTTGTAAACCGAACAGATCTCTGCGACTGATCGACACGTCTGACACGTTGACGGGTCTAACCGTTCAAACAACCGGGGATTTCGTTTACACTGGGAATAAGTATGTCTCTAGAGTATTTTTTATATTACGGTACAAAAAGTTGATAAAGAATGATAGAAAGTTAAAAATTTTTTTATAAAATTAATTGCAATTGTCAGATCTTCTCAAATTTAGCATGTATAGTCTGAATAGGCCACAGAAATACCACAGGAAATTTCAGCGTATCATTTGCAAAGAGAGTGAACATGTTCAAACATCTTCTTCAGAGAGATTACGTGAAATTCGGAGAGCGAGTCAGAGAAAAACGGTTTTTTGGCTGGTGCTTTCAGATTGTCGCGCAAAAAAATTATCTTTTCTTAGAAATTTTTTCCTCATTTTTCAAATTCCGTTTTTTCACCTCCGAAAATTGCAACAAATGCGACTTTTTAGGATATAACAAGATGATTAGTCCTGAGCTTATTGTTAGTACAACATAATAACCCCTAAAAACTTTACGTTATCCATAGTTTATGTGATCATAAGATAAGAAACAAACAAGATCAAAGGGATTTATAAGTATAAGAGGTCCGTTCGTCGCTTGGACAAATAATTATTCTCTTCATTACTGAGATGAGATGGTCGCGTAGATCCAGTGACAACCGATCATGCCCTCCTTCGCGCCGTGCAAAGCGTCGTTCAAATCTTTGGTGGAGAGCTGGTTGATGGGTCGGTCGAAGAGGCGGGCCGCAATAACTAGGGGAATGTTCTGAAAAACGAAGGAATTATATTGTACTTGACAGTTTTGGTAACAAGGAAACTGTCCAAGGCGAGGGTATCGGATGTCCTTTCAATTTTGGCTAGATATTATATCTATGCCATGTAATATTAATTGTTGAAAATCTTAACTTCCGATTAGCAAGTACAGCCGAAATGTTCAACGATCGTTACAGCTGATTGTGAGATACTATGGAAAATGAGGAGAACGGGCTGGGAAATGTGTTTTTGACTATACCTATGCCAATTCCGTGCGGAAAAAATATTTTCTTTTTTTGAAATTTTATAAGGCGTTTGAAACATGAATGTCTTTTTTATCTTGAAACTTTTGAAAAATTCCAGAATTTTGGCCATGAAAACCTGCATGATTTCTGCAAACTGTGACCTAAAAATTTTGCCTGATGTGTCTTATTTTTAGAAAGTTTTTATCTCAAAATTCTGCTTAGTTTCAGTGAACATGAGAACCCCATATTTGGGCTTTCATCAAAATTTTTATAATTCTATGAAGTTTTAGGCTGTTTAACAAAACCTTTTGCGAATTTTGGACTTACTCCGGCTTGAGATCGGGTTTGCATGAAGATGTTCCAGATTTGCTTGGCTCTCTTGACATCGGGGTCCAAGAATTTCATCATTTCTTCCTTATTTGGGAGGCAGACCTTCAACGAAAGATCGTCATAAGTTCCCTCCGGCAGTCCTTCGGCGCTGCATTCGGCGGGTTTGTCCTTTTGGAAGATTTGAATAAAGTTGCGGAGAGATCCGCCCTTCTGTTTGCAGATGTCACAGTGCACACTAAAGTGATATAAATAATTAAAATTCTTTTTAGTGATTCTTACCATGATCCAATTCCGCCGCAGCCGTCCTTGTCGGCGTTGATACAACGCTCTGGCTTGCCTTTAATTCCGATTCTGGTTTCCACATGAACGTAGTATTTTTTGGATCCATCTAGACCGGGAGGGAGGACTTCCACCTTTCCTCCGGACATTCGGAAGCATTTATTGCCGTTGGCGGATTGCTCTTCGGTGAATTGGACTCCCTCCGACTTGTAGCTGGGGAACTTTATCCTCAGACTGTCTTTTGGAGGACCTGAAGGGCAAAGTTTTATAAGAAATTTATTGAAAAAAATCCATGATTTGCTTAAAAATGCTGACTTGCCATTAAAAAGGCTTTACAATGTTTGATTTTTGAAAATTGAAAATTTTCTTCCATTTTCCTCGATTTTACATCGCGTATCTGAGCCACTTACCCGACGAAGCCGAACACGGGAAATGCCTCTCGATTTTGACGGTGATGTCATTCAAATCCGCCGCTATTCCAACGCCCACCAGCAGAAATAATAGGAACAGCTTCATGGTCCTGCAAGAAGAGCGACTCTTTACTCGGACTTTGAACTATGCTAGAAGAAGTGTTCGCCAAAATCATATTCGACTATGATTTTAGTGAATCACATTGCGAAAGTGCGCGAATGACGTCGAAGAGACCAGGGGAACGAAGATGACGGAAAACAGGGCCTCCGGAAAAGAGGAAAAGAACGGTGGAGACGTGGAAAGTAGGGAGTTTTTTTATGAAATCTAGAGTTGTAAAATACGATGTGCGGATAATGTTTATCACTATATGGGAGTTCCGTTATACGAGTGTTAATTTTGCTTTGAAATTGAAGTTTGAGGCTTTAGAAATTAATCGTTATAAAGAAGCTTTGTTTCCGGAGGTCCATTGTGCAATGTTTCACTGCATTGGATGTTGATACAGTTTGAAAGAAAAGTTAAGGAAAAACTAACAAAAAACATAAAAATTTCAAGGTAATCGAGAAGGAAAGAAACCCGTTTTTCAATGTTAACTTCTTTTACAACAACAGAAATCCGTTGTTACACCAGCAGTTGTCCCGGCAAACGGGAATCTGACGGCTTATTGCAATGAACGCATTTTTTGCGCCTGCACTGTGCGGAAAGTTTATTAATGGAGAGTCGAAGACCCAAGGCTTCGATTTGCCTCCAATTTTGGATACCTTTTCCAGACTGTTCACGCAATAATTTCTGAGATTTTCAGCCGCGCTTTGCGACGATAGCCGGGGTAATTCAACGATGTTTTGAGGCATCCAATTTTTAGCAAATTTTGATCAAAAAATCTCATTTGCTTGTATTTAGAGGTGGCAATCGGGCCGGGCCGGGCCGATTTTTGCGGCCCGGCCCGCGGGCCGAAGGTGACCAGGCCGGCCCTGGGCTTTTTCAAACTTGCTTAAGCCCGGCCCGGCCCGGCCCAATGAAAGCCCAGGCCGGCCCGGCCCGGCCCTGTTCGGCCCGCCAATACAAAAAGGTTCGATAAAAGTCTGTGCACTATCTACTGGAAGTTTTTACGCTTTCCAGAAGGCTTTTACGTGTGTATGAGTGAAATTAAAACGTCTAGTCGGATGACTGGAACAGCCGAACAGGAACCTAAAAGTAAGGCAAAAATTTGGATTGTGTCGAATTTTTTTATCCTATAGGAAGTAAGGTATATAAAGATATGGAGGTTATAAGGCTACATGTTTAATAAAAAAAACTGTTTAAACACTTTCATCATCACGGCCTCAGAGTACAGTCAAATTTTTCAGTCCATCATCAAAAAATTTGAAGATTTTTGCCTGACACTTGCATATTTGGGTGGGATTTTACATATACATAAAGAGCTTTAGCAGGTGGTAAAACAGTCAAAAAGTTTTCATTTAATATCCACCCATCAATCCTGCAAAGCATTTGTGCTTTATTTTGCTGGTTTAGTATTAATTTTTTTACATATCCACCTTTCGGGCCGGGCCGGGCCGAAAGTGTCGGCCCGGCCCGTGGGCCGAAGCGGCCAGGCCGGCCCGGGGCTTTTTCAAATCTGCTCAGGCCCGGCCCGGCCCAATCGCCGGGCCCGGCCGGGCCGGGCCGGGCCGGCCCAGCCCGATTGCCACCTCTACTTGTATTAGAAAAAACAACCTGATAATAACTGTCCGGGTCCCAGAAAAATATTGAGTCATCCTAAAGATTTTTAATTAACTTTGCGGCCCTAAACTAAACTGTTAACCCTTTTTTCTTCAGTTACCCATTACTATTAAACTCTTGACGAGAAAAATCTCCCTCTAACTGAAATCAAAAGTCTTGAAGACTTTGTGTTGCGTGAGCCACGTTGGACCCTCTTATACTTCTTTTACCACCTCATACTCCCATCCCTGATTTCAAAAGCGAACCAACGATCAGCCCGCCAAAGTGCCCATCCGAATCAGTTTGTGGCAACAAAATTTCACAAAAAAAAGTTGAGAAGACGGTGGGAATCGACAAAGGGACTTTAAAAAAACAATTAAAATACAGAATAACCGGTTGATGGAAAGGCGAACTGACTACTGCGGGGATCATTCGATTTTGAAAAAAAAGTTTAAAGTTTACAACTTTTTCGTCCAATAACTCTGTCAGGAGGTGTAAACAAACATCACCGACTTGAGTCATTTCGTCGGCGAATCTGATGGCGAATTTGGAGGGGTTAAAGTTGGCGGAGGACTGATGAAACAGATTTTTGAAGAGAATTTAGAGGGGAATTGAGGGAAGAGTGTGATTTTTAAGAGAGAATTAGGAATCTAAGGTCAGTGTTTGACTGTAATAGAGTTCAAGGTAAGTCGACAGGAACATTTCGGAGATCAGGGCAGCAACTACAAAACACCAAGGACAGCTGTTCGAGTAACTAAAGTATTTCGAACGGCTCTTCGAAGAAAGTGCGGATTCTATGCCTGTGAGGGGAATTTTTAGACTTGAACAAAAAAGTTGGCTCATTATCACTTATCAATGTGGCAATCTACCCTTCAACCGTGCGAAACCTTTAATTTTGGAAATGCAGGAACATGTTTCTTGGTTGCAATGTGCAATAAATTTTCAAGAAAATTTCTTGGTTGGCAACATTTGGATTCCCTCCAAACATGGCCCAAAAAGCATATGTGGGACACGGATTGGTCCCTGAAAATTTTAGCTCGAACTTTGCAAGGAAAGCCAATATATTTAATGATGTCTAAAAACGAGAGGTAATGGAAAACGAAGAGATGGTCGAAGAAAACAAAAATTTCTTGTCAATTGCTCTTTAAATTTTGATTGAAAAATTATTTTTTATATCTGTCATCTTAACAGACCTTAAAATCTGGACTTCAACAATCAAATAAATCAAAAAATCTTTTTGCCCAATTTTGACATAAAAATCTCCGCTGTATTCGCATAAAGTACGGTAAAAATTTCATGTATATACTGCAATGTCATATTCTTACTCTGAGCCAAGTTTCATCAATATCTAGGCTTCACACCTTCAGCAATTCGCCAATTAGTATGACTGCACTGTGCAAAACTTCAATTTTTAACGATTACACCGTGCGGGGAAAAAGATAAAACGAGTTTGCAACCAATCCAAAGACCTTTGCGGTACCATCAACACTGGTACAGCCAAAAGAAAAGACAGAAGCGCCTAAGGCTGGCTCGGATGGAACACAAAGATCCCTGAACAAAACCCCCCTCCAATCTTCGCCTTCCCCAAAAAAGAAGGTCGAATTGATATTGTTGTGAGTGAGCCCGGGTCCCTCAACTTTCACCCCGACGCCTTCATTTTCTTTATTACCCTATCATTTACTTTTTTTCGTTTCTTTTTACTCCGTTCTTTCTCCCCCCTTCCATTGCTGGAGGCGGGTGGGAGAAGACAAGGCCGTTGACGAAAAACAGAACGGTGTCGTCACAAAAAAAACTCTCGCTTTCACTTCAGCGACGAGGTAAGAGGCACAGACGGATTGATAGTGGAAGTGAAGTCTAGCTGGGGAAGAGGAGAAGTCATCAAAAAGCGCGAGGTGTAAGATCCCCAAGTGGAACATAAAATAATATTTTTTTTCAAAAAGTTTGGAAATTGAAACATCCGTAAATTAAAAAATAAAGCTTTGCAAGCTGTCTGGAGGTAAATCAAGTTTTTTGGTTTCTTGGATTGAGAAGTTATAGACAAAGGTATCAAAATTATCGTGGATAATATAATATAGTCTCAATATAAGTGGTCCACACGGCATGATCTAAATTTTAAATCACTTCTGACCCCATATTACGTCAATATCAGTTAAAAAAAGGCAAATTCTGACCTTGCAACACAATGCCAAAATTTGGCGGAAAATTGATTTATTAAATTTTCTTGCGCAACCTCGACGAAAAAGTGACTTTTCACAGAGTGAGAAAAGGGGTATTCGCTTTTGACAATTTTTTTACCTTCCAGACTGAATTTTAGACATTTACGACACTTTTTTTATACCTTACACACCAAAACAAAATTCCACAAAATTCCAAAAATTTTTTCACTTTTTTTATTTTTTAATATTATTTTCCCGACTTTACTTTTCCCCTCCCACAGTTCGCTTCCTCACAATACAAACCTGACCAGACCACGCGAGAATTCGAAAAAAAAGCCCAGACAATGACTCCAAGAATTTGGGCGCAACCCTCGAGAATTGAATCCTTATATGGACCCAGTTTGTGGAGTAACATAAAATATGGAGGTTTACACCCAAATATTACAAACCAAAACGGGAATTCTTGCGAATTTTTATGGGAAAAGTGGGCCAAATTTATGAGCGGCGAAAGTTTTCAGGAAAATGGAGCAAAAGTAGAAAAAAATTGAAAAAATTTTTGTTATTGAAGTAAAATTCTGGAAGTAAAAAGTGAGTTCATTGAGAAAAAAAAGGGTAAATCAAACATCAAAAAGTTAAATTATGTGATCAAGGTCCAAAAAATAGCTAACATACGATAAAAAGTTCAGTGTAATATCACAAAAAAAAGATGTTGAATATTATGCAAATTATAATACTGAATATTAATACAAGTCAATGAACGGCTCTTAAAGCCCATTTAGAAGGAAGAGGAAAGAATTTGGATACAGTGCCAGCCGTTTTTAGGTACGATTTTGAAGTCAGCATGTACAATATATTAGATCTGAGAGACTGTCGCGTAGATCCAATGGCAGCCAATCATCCCGTCTTTTGAGCCATGCAGGGCATCATTCAACTCTTTGATGGACAATTTATTGATAGGACGATCGAAGAGTCGGGCAGCGATGACTAGAGGGATCTCGCCGGAACGGGCGCGGCTGCTGACAAAAATGTCCCAGAGCTGCTCGGCACGGCTGGTGTTCTGAAAAATTCAGATGGATTAGGGTAAAATACGATTGGGTTTCTTTCGCCATTTAAATTTTATTTGTAGAAAATAATGTTATAGGGGAAAAATAGTATATTTTTGGTATTACACTTGATAGGAGACGAGTGACATAAAATATTCAAATTTTCACAAAACTAAAAATACAATAATTAAGATTGGGTTACCCTGGTATATTTAATAAATTTTGAGTGACTTTTTACCAAGGTAAGTCCTACATAAGCCCCTAAAACTTTCGAAAACAATACGTTCTTTCATAAAAACCATATTTTTTCAAGAAAACGTCAAAAAATTTAATTTTGCATCAGTTTTAACCACATTTCTTACCTGATCAAGGAATGGCAATAGTTCGTTTTTGGTTGGGAGACAGATTCGTAATGAGAGATCGGTATATTCGCCCGTTGGAAGACCCTGAACACTGCACTTGGCTGGCTGATCATTTTGATAAATTTGGACAAAGTTCCGCAAATCTCCACCCATCGTCCGACAGATGTCACAGTGCACACTATAACACGCCATGTTACAAAGAATGTAAAAAATTTTATGCAGTTTTGTGAAAGTTATGGCCAATTTCTCTCACCATGACCCGATTCCTCCGCAATTATCTTTGTCCGCATTCACGCATCTCTCCGGCTTTCCGTGAATTCCGATTCGGGTTTCCAGATGGACATAGTAGCTTTTGTGACCGGGCAGCCCCGGTGGGAACACTTCCACACGACCTCCGGACATTCGGAAGCACTTATTTCCTTGATGATTAACTTCTTCTTTGAAGTTGACACCCGTCGACTTGTAACTGGGGAATTTTATCCTCACATTTTCTTTGCTGGGACCTGAAATTGACTTTTCAGTAACTTGGAGAACAGAATACATGTAATAAAATTTGGGAAAAGCTCACCCGTTGACGATGAGCAAGGAAAATGCCTTTCGATTTTGACCTGTATATCCGCAAAGGCTCCGATTACAAACCCAATGAGAAACAGGGAGCGTAGCATGCTGCTACTGTCTGCAAATGGAAGTTATAATAATTGTAAGGGCATTTCAGTCATGCTTAACGCAAAAAATCGACGGAGAAATCATAAAATTATAAGTTTAGGGACATTTTTTAAAATGATGACTAAAAAGTTTCAGTCAGAAAATCGATAAAAATATGCATTGTAAATATTTAATAGAAACTTCCGGCCGTTTACCGGTTATTAAAATACCATTACTCAATTGTAAAATACGCTACGGATACTAGCAGCCAACAATAAATATTCTCAAAATAGAACATTGTTTATATAAATTTTAAAATCCGTGTTTCAAAGCGACACAAACGCTTATTGAAACCAAAGAAGCGAATCCGAAGCCTTCAGTTTCAAACCATCTAATATCCGACGTAAGAAACGCATAATTATCCGTAACCGGACGTCATAAAAAAATCACCGGAACAGAATCTAAAAACTCCTCACAAAGAGAAAAATGCTTGAAGTGAGACGGTTAAATTTTGATGAAAGAGATAAATGAAGAGTAGCAATTTTTTTAAACGATATGGTAGATTTCTAACTCACACTTTACGGCCATCACCGAGATTTTTTGGTCGAAAATTTCGGAAAAATCTAAATTTTTTTATTTTGAAAATGTATAGGCAATCTGATCTGAGTTATGGAGTTACAGAAATTTGAAAAAAGAATGAATTTTGCAAGCAGAATCCAAAAGAAAAGCAATAAAAAATTTCTCTGCCCGTCTCTCTTCGTTTTCCTTGGTCTCTCGACTGCAAAGATCGTTTAATATCTCGGCTCTTTCCACAAAGTATGAGCTAAAATTTTGAGGAATGAATAGGTGGACTACACTGATCCTGTGAGCAAAATTTGAAGAAAATCCAAAAGTCAAATTTTGAGAAATTTAACTGACATCAATACCTACAACAAAGTCCAAAAATCCCTGATAAGGCAGAAACACACAGTATCCGGTAAGCAAAACCCCAGTAACAGCCAAAACAGCCAGTGGGGTCAGCTCTTGACTGCTCCCAAATCCAAAAACACGAGCAAGACCGCATCCGAAAAAAGGGGATAAAGCCAACGTCGGAAGGTTCTGCTCGCTGATTCAGACGACGGAGATGGAGAAACAGGTGGTAAACTTTTCCCCCTCGCCTTGTCTAAATCTTTTGTGCTCCTCTGCGTCGCCCTGCAAAAAAAGGTGGAAAACGATTTCTTCTGATTTTTGTCGACGTCGCGCTCTGTTGGATCAAAAGGTTTTTGATCGAAAAATGGGGGATTTTTGGGCGAAATGAGAAATCCCAAGAAAAAATGGGAATACGTCGTCCGCGAAGAGCCAGCTTAAATATTTATTTTTTCGGATTTTCGAACAGGTATTTCTTCAGAAGTCATCGAGTGAAAGACGATCCATCATCAGAGGTTTCAAAACGAAGAAAGTCCGGATTTGGATAAATTTGGATCAACAATAAGGGTTCGGGAAAGCAAAGACTAGGCAAAATACGAGATTACGAGTGATCATGTCCATTGATGACGTCGGAAAAAAAGATTAAGTGACAGCAGAATTGAAGGTAATCAACTTTTTGATGAGTAATTTATCTCCGCGTGGGTGGAACGAGCAAAAAAGAGGAGGATGTTTACTTCATCACTTCAAAAATTATCCTACACTTAATCGAGTTTTTGTCAAAAACAATGGGATGACGGAAAAACTTCATAAACAGTATCAAAAATTGTCTCTAAACATGCATACTATAATAAATGCGTTGCCAGAAGATATTTTTAAAATTGAAAAACAAGATTTCAATTGATTTCCATCGACAACCACCACTGTTTTACCCAAAAAACATTACCGCATTCTAATCTGCATCGTTCGTATAAAATGTCGCCGCAGTCTGCGCAAAAATGGGCGCAGCTCGCGCGGGGAAAAATGTTTTTTCCGGGGTACTCAAGTTTTGACAGACTTGTCGGACCTGCTGGATATTCGGATTAGTTTTGTACTCCATTCCGAATGGATTACTACACGGCCTACGGCTCCAACAGCCGAGGACCGGTCCATGCTCAAGATGAAGACCCCGTCCTGAGAGGAGTCAAAATCCCGTTGACTACTGGGGTAAGTTGAAGGATAATAAGATGAAATGATGTGAAATAGGAACTATGTTGTAGTGTGCAACTGTTGAAATCACTAGAAAAATGTTTACAGCTTAATTTTTGATATTATTCATGTGTTCTATTTTTAGGAGGTGGTGGTCATGAATGAAGATAACTTGGAGGATTCTCGACAAGTTGTTGAACTCCTACGTTCCAACCGAGTCAAACTCAGTGTCTGGGTCAACCTGGCAGTAAGTTTTTGACATACCGCTTTCTTTTCTAACTTTAGGCGTTAAATTTGGTGTCTGTGCCATGGATAACGTAAAATATTCCTTTTCAATTCGATTACCAAATCCTCAAATTTCAGTTGCTCTACTACCGCAAAGGCCGCTACAATGACTTCACCTATCTTTTGAATCCAGAAACCCAGAAAGGAGCTTTCACAGATTATCAATCGAATGAAAGAGATCAGATGAGATCTTTGGATATGATGGCCGCGTATTATGTTCAAAAAGGATCGCAGGAGAAGTCAATCGAAGCCAGAAAGCAGTGGTTCTTGGAGGCTACAGTTTTGTACTCAGCGGCTGACAAGATTATTATGTACGATCAGAATCATTTATTGGGAAGAGCGTATTTCTGCTTATTGGAAGGTAAATTATAATACGTTTTTGTATTTTTCTAATTTTTAGGTTATATTGAACCATAATGATCCTCTTAACTTAATTTTATCTGATTTGCGACCAATTTTTATATTGCACTACCTATTTTAGGTAACAAGACCGAACAAGCTGAAGTGCAATTTAAATTCGTCCTCAATGATGATCAACGAGGCGGATTGGCTCCGGCCACAGATGAAACACTTACAATTCCAGCCATGATGGGTCAGGCTTGCATTATGTACATGAGAAAGGAGTTCAAATTAGCTCTCCAAATCTACAAAAAGTGCCTTCAAATGAATCCGAATTGTCCGGCAAGTGTCCGATTGGGAATTGGCTATTGTCTGGCCAAGCTGGGAAAAACTGACAAGGCAAAGTAAGCTATTTTTTAAAATAAAATTGACCAAACCGCCATGTGTAACATAAAAGTTTATTGTATTTGTTCAGAATCGCCTTCACCCGAGCTCTCCAACTTGAACCGAGCAATGTGGATGCTGCTGCTTCTTTGGCGGTCCTTCAGATGACCCATTCGAATGACGGGAGTGAAATGAGACAAGGAATTCAGAGCTTGGCCCAGCTCTATAAAACGGCGAAGGACCATCCCTTGATCCTCAATCATTTGGCCAATCACTTTTTTATTAAAAGTGTAAGTAGTTTTTATGTGTTTTTGTTTGGATTTTAGGTTCCGGAAGTGCTCAAATCTCCGTCAATTATATTACACTGGACAGACCTTTGCTAAAATTGAATTTTTTAGCAATTGGATGAGACAACAGACAAGGAGAGTCTTTTGATGAAGGCCAAACGTCTCCTCGACTATGCTGTTACAGTATCCAAGAATGAGCAGATGTTATCGGAGAGTAATTTCCATCTGGGTCGGTATTTCCATGCCCAAGGCAAAATTCATGATGCCCATCGGGTAGGGTAATAGGCCGATTTGATGGTCCTTTTCAGCATTATTCATTGGCTGCCCAGCAAGCCGGTCCCAAGTTCAAATTGCCCTCCTTTGGCTATGGACAAACCAATATTCTCCTCAAGGAGTATGATAAGGTAAAGTTATATGGTTTTATTATTTATTGTTGGTTTTTAGGCGATTGAAGAGTTCGAGAAGGTCTTGAAGGCATATCCAGACAATTCAGATGTCCTCAAAATTCTCGGCGCGCTTTATGCGAGACAATCCGAGAAGGATAATTTACCGCAGGAAATCGTTGAAGAACGTCGAAGAAAAGCCCGGGAATACCTACAAAAGGCGGCCAAAAATAACCCGGATGATCTGGAAATCCTCATCGATCTTGCTGTTCTCCTCCAACGGTTCGATGTAAAAGAAGCCATCAACACGTACAACAAAATCATCGAACAATTCAAAGCCCATGACTCCCCGGTCCCACCGGAGATTGAAAATAACATGGGAGTACTCTACTTTATCTCCAAGAAATTCGACAAGGCTAGGGTAGGCGTTTGGATTAAATTTTGGATGATTTTTAGAGAATATTTCCTAGTGTAATATAACTGATGTTAATTTTTTATATTTTTAGGAGTGTTTCATTGCATGTCGTGAGATCCTGGTGTCCGCAGACAAGTTTGATGCAAAATTGAAGGGATCCATTGTAACGGTGACGTATAATTTGGCCAGATGTGATGAGAAATTGTCCAAATTTGGGGAAGCCGAGAGAATTTACAAGGGAATTTTGAAGAAACGACCCAGTTATATGGATGGTAAGAGTTTTTATTTGTGTTTTTTTGAATTTTTAGACTGGCAGAATTATTTTTTCGTATTTTAGCCATGTTCCGACTGGGCTGCATCTATTACAAGCGAGGAAATAACAACCTGGCCATCAACTCGTTCAAAGAAGTCATGGCGGCCGACCCGAAGAACGTGGACTCGTGGCTGATGTGGGGCCAAATCCTCTTCGATCAGGGCCAATTGGACCAGGCCAGGAAGAAGTTCGAACATGTTTTGACTTCCGCGAAAACCCCGGACCCCGTGGCCCTGGTGATGACTGGAAATGTGTATGTAAAACACTTGATGAAGATTGATCGCAATCGAAAAGACGATGAGACACAGCGAGATCGAGCCCTAAGGCTGTACCATAAAGCCCTGAGGGTAAATCCGAAAAATGTGTACGCAATGCACGGTGCGGGAATTTTGTTCGCCCAAAAAGGTGATCTGAATACGGCCAGAGAGTTCTTTGGCCCAGTGAAGGAAAGAATCAGCGATTATCCGGATGTCTGGATCAATACAGCCAATGTTCAGGTAGAATTTTGAATTTTGGGAGGCCTTTTTATATTATAGTAGGTATAAAGTAACATAAAATTTTAGTTGGACAGCAGCAACTACCAAAGCGCCATCCAGATGTATATTACGGTGATTCGCAGGTTTAATCGAAGAAAAAACCCGGATCTCCTCACGAATATTGCACATGCCTACTATAAGTTGGGAAAGTTTGAATCGGCCCTGGATTACCTGGACCGAGCTCTCTTAATTCAGCCGACAAACCTCATCCACAGATTCAATTATGGCCTGACGACACTCAAGTCGTGCTCAGCGATCCTTAACAGTCAACAAGCAACAGAATCGAAGGTTAAACAAGCGGTTGACCGATTGAATGCGGTGGCCAAAGCCCTCAGGCAAATTCAGAATATGCCTCCGGAGAAAGTTCAGCCATACAGGTATATAAGCCGAACGGTTTGTGGAGAAATTGCCGAAAAATGCGAGGATCTTCATCGACAAGCTGATGTGTTCATTGGAAGGGCAAGGGTAAGGAGATTTTTATATTGCTTTTTTTAGATTTCTCCGCGGAGATTCCGCCGATTTTCATGAAATTTAGATTTTTGTGGAGCTGAGATGCGCCATTGTCAACCGGTTGATTTTGAAAAAAAAAATATCCTGAACTGACCTTTCTATGCCGTCCCAAAGTTTTTGAAAATTATTTTCGAGCCGAAACCGCTAAAACTTGGAAAATTTTTGGAATGATTTTGAAAACTTGGTCATTTCTTCGGGTTTTTGGTTGAAATCTTACACGTTTTTCGCCACGGATGTCTAGCACGACGTGTAATATTCAAATATCATCACACAAAAATGCAAAAAAGAAATCATTTATAAATCGCCATGTCTCCAGCTGGCTGCTATAGCAATACCGAAAAAGCTCGCCTTACCCTGTTATACGAATCGTGTGGATGTGATTATAAAACATTCACAACTCGCTGTCGTCGTGAGCAACAAAATGGTCGGGCAAGTGTGCCGAGTTTGGCCACAATTAAAAAATGGAGGACTTCCCTTCTTTCTACAGGTTCTGTCGTTAGTCAACGTGGAAAAGTAAGTCAAGGCTCAAGTTAGAGATGTTGCGGATGAGATTCGAGACGATCGGGATCTGCGACTTGAGGTGCACAAGACTTTCAAAGGCGTCTGCAAGTCTGTGCTGCAAGAGGAGGTGGACACGGCGAACTCAGATAGAAATAATAATAGTCAAATTGTTAATTAAATTAGTTTTTACAACAGTATTTTGCAAATATATGAGGCAAAACGAGTAAGATTTCACCCAAAACCCCGAAAAAATGACCAAGTTTTCAAAATCATTCCAAAAATTTGCTGTTTTAGCGGTTTCGTCTCGAAAATAATTTTCAAAAACTTTGGAAATGCATAGAAAGGTCAATTCAGTATATTTTTTTTTTCAAATTCAGCTGGTTGAAAATGGTGCATCTCAGCTCCAGAAAAATCAAAATTTCATGAAAATCGGCGGAATCTCCGCGGAGAAATCTAAAAAAGAGGCGGAAGGTTTTAGTGGCCCACCCTGTAGATTATGGGCCAAGTGTAATATAAATTTTTATTGAGATTTGTGTTTAAAGGTACATTTTCTTGCTTGATAAATCAAACAGATTGGATTTTTAAGGGATTAGAGAAGCACAGAGTGTAAAATTATATTTACTAGATGACCCTAGTATAATATAATTTATGTCCAAAATAGTATTGAATTATTTTCAGAAGCGAGATATCGAAGAATTGGAAAGAATCCGTGACAATGAAGTCGAACGCCGCAGAGTTATCAACGAACAAAAGAGAGCGGCCAAACACAAGGAAGAAGAAGAGACGCTGAAGTTGGAAAAACTGAAGCTACACAGAACCTTCTACATCCAGAAGAACAAGGAAGCCCTCAAGAAGAGAGAAATCGAAGAGGATCGACCGAAAAGAGCCGGAGGCGGAAGCCGAAAGAGAAAGCGACCGAAACAAGAAGATGACTTTGTTAATGACTCGGATGACGATGGAAGAGATCCCATGGAAAGACAGGAGGAAAAGAGACGGAATGCGCAGAAGGTAGGGGAGTTTTGAATTATTTATCTGGTTTTTAGGCATCTCGACGAAACAAAAAGAAGGATCAGGCCTTCATTAATGATGGAAGTTCGGATGAAGAGGGCAAAAAGAAGCGAAGAAAGAAGAAGACGAACGAAGAAATTGAAGAGGAAGATCAAAGGAAGTTTAAAGGAAAGGTCAAGTCTAAAGCCATCATTGAATCGGAGAGCAGTTCGAGCGACTCGGATGCCCCGGCAGATCAACATGATGTACCTACCATCAGAAATCGAGACATTGATAGCGGAGACTCGGATGCCGAATCCGTCAAGAAGGCGGCCAGCTCAGGATCAGAGAGTGAGACTGCTTCACCGCCGAAGAAAAGAATTCTCACGGATTCGGACGACAGCGACGCAAATGAAGGCAATAAATCCAGAGCCAAGATTGAATCAGATGACGACTCGGATTAGGAAATTTTGGAACATGAATTTGCATAAACTTGCAGTATTTGGCATATTTGTGTAGAGGAATTGAGTTGAGAATACAAGAAGTTCGTTTATATTTGTTGTATCTTCACTTGTATCCGCGAAGATATGTAGTCAGCCGAATGTAGAGTAATAAATATAGATAGATTTATTACAGAAACAATAATAGCAATATATATCGTAACACACACATTCACTGAATAATATAATCCTCCTTGGCCATGGGACAAAACGTAATGCCAAAGGTCTTGTAGTTTTCGTCACGGGACCGAACATCTCCCTTTGTGGAAAAGGATCATTGCTTGGCTTTTTGACGACGGCCGGAGAGCTGTTGATAGTCCAAGGGCTTCTTGGCGTTTCGGCTGGGCTGTATTCGCCGGGCAACGGTAGGAGGTGCGTCAGGTCCATTAGATCGGTTCGGAACAACCGGAAAATAGTGGGATAGATTAGAGGAATAACTTGCCGGGGGTGTATTATTCTCTTCTTCCACCATCGTATCGTACTCGTAAGGGAACCGCTTCCAGATTTGGTTGAAGTGGCGAGTGTGTACTTGGTCCTGCACTTGAACTTTTGCCATAGTCTTCCCCAAGAACTGAATGAGTTTCCCAGTGACTCGTTTACCAGTAACGAGTTGTATCGTCACCATCTCTCCCTTTGTAAAGAATCGAGGCCTGGCTCCATGGTGGCTATCGAATTTCTTCTTCATGATCTTCTGGGACCGATTTAGCTGTGTAATGTCATCGGATTTGTCCATATTTGGGAAGTGAGGTGAGTTTGGTTTGAAAACATCAAAGGGTGTACGGAGTTGGCGTCCAAAGAAGACTTCGTTGGGGGTTCGTCCATCAAGAGCTTCATTGGGGGTGTAATTGTACGTAAGTACCGCTGTATCGAGGGAAGATTTGTTGGCTTCCAACGATTTCTTCAGTGTCTGGACTGATCTTTCAGCGTGGCCATTGCTTTGAGGCATCCTGGGTGCGCTTTTGAGGTGGACGATCTGGAGGTCTTGACAGAATTTGGCGAACTCTTCGGAAATAAACTGTCCTCCGTTATCTGTGACAAGAGTTTCCGGGGCTCCAAAGTGTCGGAACAGGATGTGTAAGTAGGCGATCAAATTTTTGGAGTCCGCAGGGTTCATCCAGTGCGCGTCCAGGAGTTTGGAATAACTGTCAACGACAACAAGGAATTGATGACCTTTCTTAGGTTCGGCGAAATCGAGATGAATCCTAGACCATGGTTTTTGGGTTTCTGGCCAAGGTTGGAGTGGGATTTTGCGGGGTGTATTGGCGGTGTCGATGCAATGTTGACAACCTTTAACCGCCATCTCGATATCCTTGCCCATTTGAGGCCAGTAGAAATGGCTTCGTGCCAATTTCTTCATTCGTGTAATTCCTGGGTGGGCTTGGTGTAATTTTTCGATAACCTTTTTCCTGTAGGCTTTTGGGATCATCACTCTGTCATCGTAGAGTAGGATTCCTTTGACTTCTGATAGGGAATCTTTGATTAGAACGTAAGGTCTTAGCAGCGGATCATCTTTGTCGGAGGTTTTCCATCCCTTCGAAATTCGTTGTATGAGGGTTTGGAACAGGGGGTCGGCTTTCGTCGCCTGGATGAACTCCGATTGAGTGGTGTACGTACTCAAATTTTCAGTGATGACTTCATTGATTTCCCTTTCCAGGACTTCGAAGGAGGCGATGACCGTCTCGAGTTCTGGGTCCTCATCTGATCGAGCTGCTTGGATCAGTCTGGAGAGACAATCGGCTTGACCGAATTGATCGGTTTTGATGTACTCTATGGTGAAGTCATATCCAATAAGACGTAACGCCCATCTCCTGAGTCTTGCCGCGGTTCGGTCACTCAGTCCTTTTGTATTTGAGGGATTTAGGAGGGTGAGTAAGGGTCTGTGATCCGTCTGTAGTATAAATTTTCGTCCCCAGACGAACTTGTGTAGCCGCTCCACTGTAGTGACGAGGGCAAAGGCTTCCTTCTCAATTTGGCTGTAGTTCTGTTGAGAGGGGGTCAGGGACTTCGAAATGTGGAAGACTGCCTTCTCTGATCCGTCTGTGTATCGTTGTAATAGGACTCCCCCGATCCCATATTGGCAGGCGTCAGCTGCAACGATCAGTTGTTGGCGGGGATCGTAGTGTGCCAGGAGTAGCGGACTGGACAGGACCTTCTTGATCTGTGTAAAGGCACGTGTATGTGTTGGAGTCCATTTGAATATCTTCTCCTTGTGTAGTAGCTGCTCGAGCGGGGCTTTGTAAATGTGGAGATCTCGAATAAATTTTCCGTAATAATTTATGAGTCCAAGGAGGGATCGTACATCTTTCTGATCCTTGGGGATCCTCATATTCTGGAGGGAGGAGACTCGAGTAGGATCGGCCTGTATTCCAGATGGTGTGATCTTCATTCCCAGGTATGTAACTTCAGGGACATTGAAATGACATTTGGTCAGACGAAGTCTGAATCCCCAGTTTTCAAGTTTTAATAGAACCTGATGTAATCGTTCGTCGTGTAGTTGACGATTGGGGGCCATAACGAGTATGTCGTCGAGGTAGATCAGTATGCCCGGAATGCCTGAAAGGGCTTGCTCGAGGGTCCGTTGAAATATGGCGGGAGCCGGTTTTAGACCAAATACGAGGCGAGTGTATTGGAACAGTCCTCGATGAGTGTTGATTGTTGTCAACCGTTGGCTTTCTTCATCGAGTGGAAGTTGAAGATAAGCGTCAGACAGATCTAATTGAGTGAAGACCGTATTGCCCGTGAATTTGGACAAAATCTCCTCCATATTTGGGAGGGGTGTTCAATGTCTGCCAGGGCGTCGTTGAGGCCGGTGGAATAGTCGGCACATAGGCGGATTTTGCCTCCAGGTTTTTTGCGACCACGATTGGAGATGCCCATTCTGATGTATCTACTTTCTTCAGAGTTCCATTGTCCAGCAGTCGATCAAGTTCTGTATTTACTTGGTCTTGAACGGCAATAGCCACAGGTCTTGCGCGTTTGTGGACGGGGTTGACATTGGGTTTGACTTGGAGATGTACTTGCATTTTCGTGCATTTCCCCAATTCTTCCTTGAATAAGTCCGTGTACTGGACCGCCATCGTCTGGGCGTAGGAGTCGACGATGTTGATATTTGCCTCTTCTTTGTTGTGGAATGTAATTACTCCAAGTTCCTTTGAGGCTTTTCCGCAGAGTAGTGCGGTGTCTTTCTTTGCAAGGACTAGGATGGTATCTGTATATGAATGACCATTATACTTCAGGTTTGCCTTGAAACTTCCTTTTACAGTGAGGGGAGAACCATCGACGGATGAGCAAGTTATGTGGAATGGTGTAAGTGGAGGTCTGTTTAGTGCCTTCCACTTTTCGGGGCCAATTATTGACATATCGGCGCCACTGTCGATTCTGAATTCCATCACTTTTGCGTTTATTCCCACTGTAACGTATTCTCGACTGTCTCCAGAGCCAACATTATTGATCACAATGTTGTTGAATTGTCTGGCCTTCTTCTTGAGGCATGCAGCTTCGTTGTGTCCTTGTTTCTTACAGAAGGCACAACCTAGGTTCGTCTTCTGACACGAAGTTGCCAGATGGGGTCCGTTGCATTTGTAACATGTGTAGTCTCCCGCAGACTTTGCTGTCTGGTTTTTGTTCCTGTGAACCGTCTTTCCGCGGGGAGTGTATTTCGGCCGACGGTGGTACTTTTGTAGCTCGTTGACTTCGTATGAGGTGCTAGGATCATGTGAGTTTCCCAGGTTCACGTCTTCCATTCGTGTTTCGAAGCTTTTGAGGACTTTTCGCAGTTCATCGATGGTAATGTCCGGCTTCTGGTCAACGGCTTTTAGAATCATGGATCGGATGCTCTTGTAAGAGGGGTCCTTTATGAATTGAAGGGCGAGGAAGATCTTGAATTGATTGATATTCAAGTCAGTGAATTCAAACTTGTCACCTCTGATATTTGCCTCGTTCAGCATCTCATCTGCTGTTTTTCCAGGTGGGAGGGTGAGGGACAGGGTTTCGTGTCTGCGCCGGAAGAGGGACATCGTCGAACCAAAAATTTCTTTCAATATCTTCAGTAATTCCTGATAGTCCATTGCTTCGGGCGTCTTCGGCGAAGTTCTTCCTTTTAGTTGAACGTATTCATCCTTCCCCAGTGCTTTCAGGATTATTTTCTTCCTTTCAGCATCATCCTTGCAGTTGTCGTCCAGGATGGCCTCGTTTTGGCCGAACCATTCCGTGAACGTGTAGTCTTGATCTGGGTTGTATGTGAACTGTCCCAGGAGTGACATCGTGTGGGTGAGAGCTGAAGTTCGGTCGATCGACGGAAGTTTCATGCTGGATTCCATCGTCGCAGCAAGATTCTTGATGGATTCTCCTTGAATTTTCATCGTCTCCATCATTTTAGTTAGGAGGTCCGGGAGTTTATCCATTCTGTTCTCTCTTCAGTCCTTGTATGGTGTAGGAATTCTGTTTTCCGCGAGGAAGATTCAGAATCTAAAGGCGAGAACAAAAAATTGAAGAGTACCTGGTTCGAAGTTGCAGTAGAAGGTCGTGGAGAGCTGAACTGGTTCCACGTCGTAATTCTTCTTCTGCTCGTGTAGACTGCGCCAATTGTTGTATCTTCACTTGTATCCGCGAAGATATGTAGTCAGCCGAATGTAGAGTAATAAATATAGATAGATTTATTACAGAAACAATAATAGCAATATATATCGTAACACACACATTCACTGAATAATATAATCCTCCTTGGCCATGGGACAAAACGTAATGCCAAAGGTCTTGTAGTTTTCGTCACGGGACCGAACAATATTCTCCTTTGTTATGCAGCATTATTATTTATTACAGTAATTGTTAATAATCTCGAACTTGATAAATTGTAAATTTCGCAAGTTTTGAGAGCTATTCTTTGAGTTTTGAGGAGAACCCTCTAATTATTGACCGATTTAAAACGGAGTTTTTTACAACTCGAAGGATGGCCCGGACATTTCGAAAAAACGACCAACTCAAAATCTTTTGATATTTTGCATAGCTGTTCTACTATGTTAGACGAACGTCAGTACACATTTTTAGTTTCGGAAATTATCGTACACGGGGGTTACGGTAGGTACAATTTTTAGAAAGATTGGGCTCGTACGTAAAAACCCCGAAGAGTAAAAGGGCGAAACTTCGTTGTTTTACGTTTTCGACCATGGGGAGCATTTTCATAATTGACACTTTCGCCGTAGGATGTAGCCTTCGACTACTTTGAAAAATACCAATAAAAGGGGTGGTTTTGGAGTTACGGTACTTTGATTGTGGCCCGAACGGTATATCAAAATATAATTTTTTTCAAAATAGGTGTAGAAGAGCCGCATATATCGCCAAAAAACGTTTTCGACCATGGGGAACATTTTTGTAATTAACACTTTTTCTGTAGGATGTCGTCTTCGACTACTTGGAAAATGACCAAGGTACCATGGTCAATATAACTTTTCGGTATTCTACTTGTCTCAACTTTTGAAACCTCTCAAAAATACTTTGACATGTATGTAACAACATATCAAAAATGCACGAAAATAAAAGGGGTGGTTTTGGAGTTACGATACTTTGAATGTTCCCGGTACCGTATGTCAAAATTTAATTTTTTTTAAAATCGGTGTAGAACAGCCGCAAACCTTGCTAATGTAGGTTTTCCACCACGAGGAACATTTTTGTAATTGACACTTTTTTTGTAGGATGCAGTCTTCGACTACTTTGGGAAATGTCAAGATACCATGTTCAATATAACTTTTCGGCATTCTACTTGTCTCAACTTTTAAAACCTTTCAAAAACACCTTGACCTATGTGTAACAACATATCAAAAATTTAGGAAAATAAAAGGGGTGGTTTTGAAGTTATGGCACTTTGAATTTTGGACATACAGTACACTTCGATTTATGCTCGGCTAAACTTTACGTAGATTATTTTAAACACTAAATGTAATGTTTTATGTGTGTTGTAAGACCCTCAAAAACTATTTTCACCATGAAATTCAGAAAATTTAGGCCTAAGCATACTGTAACATATCGTGCGCAGATAATTGGTTACTGTAACACCAGGATCAGCGATTTCTTAAATTTTTTGCAACAATTACCACGGTTTAGAGTCGTGTGTGCCATATGACGGTAGAATCTTCCAAATTCGGACGTCAGCATCACAACGAACGTTCGGTGTACTGTATGATCAAGATTAAAAGTACCATAACTCCAAAACCACCCCTTTTATTTTCCTAAATTTTTGATATGTTGTTACATACATGTCAAAGTATTTTTGAGAGGTTTCAAAAGTTGAGACAAGTAGAATGCCGAAAAGTTATATTGACCATGGTACCTTGGTATTTTTTAAAGTAGTCGAAGGCTACATCCTACGGCGAAAGTGTCAATTATGAAAATGTTCCCCATGGTCAAAAACGTAAAATAGCGGGGTTTCGTGCTTTTACTCCTTGGGGTTTTTACACACGGACCCAATCTTTCTGAAAATTGTACCTGCCGTAACCCCCGTATACGGTAATTTTCAAAACTAAAAATTCACGCTGACGTTCAGCTATCATAGTACGACAACTATGCAAAATATCAAAAGATTCTGAGTTGGTCGTTTTTTCGAAATGTCCGGCCCTTGTTATGAGAAGCTTCAATCTGTAAAAAACTCTCTTCTAAAACTAAAAATGCAGAAAAAACCTTCGGGAACCGTGTCACCAACTAATTTCACGAATTTTTAGTAGAAAATCATATGAAAACAAGTTGCATTTGCTTAACAGGAGTGTAAACGTAATGAAAATGATGTTTTTATATCTTGCCAATACTATGAACTTCATTCTCGACATCAAAAATCGCAAAAAGTTTTCTTCCGTTGCCGGGAATCGAACCCGGGCCTTGTGGGTGAGAGCCACAAATCCTAACCACTAGACCACAACGGAACACGCTTCCCTACTCTTCGCTTTGGAAGAGAAAAGAAATCGGAGAGCGGGGTCGTAAACTGCTCGCTTTTCTCCCCCGTTTCTCTCACTTTTTTCGAAATTTCCTAAACAAAAACTGGTGTTTTCTTCGACTCCGAGATCAGAATAGTGCAAGATATTCTTCTGGTTGCAGACTCGTCGTTCTTCGAGTGTTCTTTGTCATTTTTTACGTGAATTTTCATAATTTCTCCAAAAAGATCGGGAATTTCGTGGAAATTCTCGCATTTTGATTTGTTTTCCGTTGACTACCGTACTTTTAAAAAGCTAATTAACGTTTTCATGGAGCATACGCAAGTTTACGAGGGTTTTAATGACAAACGCACGGGGATCAGCCAGTTATACGACTTTAATTGGGGTTTTTTTGGAAATCAAATGGCTGGGAAAGCCCATTCTAAGGTATCCTGACGACCGAAAAGCGAAAGTCCTTCGTTATTTTAGGGTGGGGGATTCAAGAATGGTCTAAAAACAATGTTTTGCAATTGTTTTCCCCGAGAGCTTTGGATCTGGTGATTATTTTTCCGTAGAAAGATCCCTTTTGTTTATCATTTCTGACTCAAATTACCCGAAAATCTGCGCCAATTTCTCTGCTATGCTGATTTTTATGGCTAGTAACGCTTGATTATTCCCTTATAAGACCTTTCGCTCCTCAAAATCGAGGTTAACAACCCCAATTTAAGGTTAATGGAGCTCCAAGATCTGGAGAATTTCTCGGAAGAGGAGCTGCTCAGGCTTCTCGAGGACCCCTGGACCATCAAAATGATGAATCTGGGGCAATGCTTCAACGGGCTGCAAGATTTCTTCTGGCCATTGTGGAAAAAGTTGATCGGTTTTTCAGTATTACAACTACTTGTATATCACACTTGCCAATTTCAATACAGTAAGTTCTAAAAAGCTGCTCTAATCGCGCGTTTTAGTCACTGAAAGACGCGCTCACATCATTGTGACAGCGCTGGGAGTGTATTTACTACTTTTACAGTCAAACTCAACTGTTAATTTTGTAATCCCGCTTATAAATTGGGCCGTATTTTACATTTCGGACCAGTTTATGTTGGGGAGAAATGATCGAGGCAAAGTCTGCATCCTCATTTCAATATTGTCACTAATTTTTTGGTGAGTTTGTGCGATTTTTTTTGGAAATTTCGAAAAAATTATAATAATTTATATTACTTTAGGCAAGTCAACTTGTCAGCTGTTGCCTTTTCTCAAATCAGAGGAGTAATTATGATAATGTGTATGAAATTGATCTCTCTAACGTTTGACGACCTTAATCCCAGCATGTTCGAGAATCTGGCATTCGTTTTTAACCCGTCTACTGTAATTTTTGGGCCATTTATTCGATTGGATCAGTTCAGAGAGAACTTTATTCGACCTGTAAGCGATTTATTACACTCTAAACTATTTGAAACATCTCTATTCCTACTAATTACTAGCTCATCTTCAGAACACTACAGTAAAATCTCTTATTTTGGTCCCCATCTACAGTTTAATCGCATTTTTCTTCGTATTTTACTCGACTTGTCTCACAGATTTTATCCCTACAGATCCTCAAATCCTTGGGGACTTTGCTACAGCTCAGTCGTTCCGATTCAGCCACTTTTTTGTGTGTTATTTATCGTTAACTACCGCTTTGTTGGGCGGATTTTCTTTCAACTTCCAAGTCGCGGGCGCCTTGCAAGTTGAATGGCCAAGATCAATGGGCCAAGTGGTCGTCCATTGGAACTACCCGATGCATCAGTTTTTACATCAATGTGAGCTTATATTAACTGCGAAAAAAGTTCTGAATCTATATTATTTTAGATCAATAATATTATAATTGCCATTTTTTAGATGTTTTTCGACGAGTTTTGTCCTCCGGCTACGCTCTAGCAATGCTGGCTTCATTTGCTATGAGCTCAATCCTTCATGGCCTGAATTTTCAACTCTCAGCTGTCCTAACTTCTTTAGCATTCTATGCCTATGTTGAGTCCATTTTTCGTCGAAAACTCAGCAATTTCCTTGGAGTTTGTGCTATGGACAGAAAATGTCCGGAAAAGTGCCCTCACACCCACAAAGAAGTAGGCTTGCATCGAAAAAGATCATTTTTATTCCTAGTGTAATATCAAGTATAACGTAATTTATTCCAGAATTCTTTCCAAGCCCTGGCAATCAATCTAATCTTCACTTTCCTCAACATCTACCATCTAATATACCTTGGCATGCCATTTGACGGAACCTTACAAGAAACCGGTTATTCTTTTTCCCACACGATCTCTCATTGGTCCCGATGGAACTTTTCCTCTCATCTGATTGCCAGCTTTATGCTATTTTTAGGACTTTTATAACTCCGTGCCATTTTTAATAACCTTCAATACGGATATCGCGAACATTATCTCATTGTAAAGCGGGTTTTTATAGCCAATAATTAGAAAATAAAGTATTTCGACGAAAAATTGAGATGGATAATATAAAAAGCGTCAATTTCACAAAAAAATCGGATAGAAATAACAAGAATCTAACAGCTAGAGCAATAAAAAAGACCTTATCAACATCTTCGACAGAAATTTTTTCTTGATCATCGACCGGAATATTTTCCCAATAATTTTGTGACACTTCGCCAAAAATCGATAGCTTGTAAAATTGAAGAGGTAATTTTGGCGGTAAAACAATTTCTGGTATCAAGGATAAGTCATTTTTTTGTTCCCGAACGTTTATAACACCGTTTGAACGTACGTACGTTTATTTGAAGAATTTTTTAAATGTTATTCTTTACCGATTTCGATTTACTTCAATTTTCTCTGTTTCAGATAATGGCAACCGTCGAAAGAAGCCGGACGGCTTTGAAAGCTTTCAAGACAATCATTACCGAGATCAAGAAGGCCAATGGAGTAAGTGTTTTATTGTTTGTTCTCGGAACTTTAGTTGATTTACATCTGGAAGACGTCTGACTAAAAATATTTTAGAAACCTTCAGAACAACACATAAACTTCATCAAGGATCAATTCAAGAACCACAAGCTTACTCAGCGGGTTAATATGAATGGTCCGAAGGAATTGGAAGGGCTAGCACAAACCTATGCCACTTACTTACACTCCACAAGAGAATTGGCCGAACTCCACGAGAAGTATAAGGGAAGAGAGCGCACTGTTGAAGAGAGCGCAAGATTGGTCGGACTACAAGTCCCAGAACGTCGGAGGGATTGAGGGTGGCTGTATGGATCGAGCAACAACCGTATTTTATATTGTCCATGGCTGAAAAATCTGTAGCATTCATTGTTGTTGTTGAATGGTAGCTGATCTGTCTGTGGACTGTTGCTTGCTTCTCGTTTGATTTAGGTCAGATTTTTTATTTAGAGTTTTTTACGAATAAAACTGCTTTTTTATCTTTTGATAGGCTTTTCTACCTTCTTTGGTTGAGACCATTCGCTACCTAAAATTTCTTTTTTTTTGTTTTGTTTATTCTTTAGATGGACGAAGAAGAGGCTAGAATCGCCCGTTACCGCTACTTACTGCAGCCTATACGAGACTTGTCCGATCATTTGGACGATGATATCTACGAGATCCTGGGTGTTTACCTCGAGAAATTGCGAAGTGATCGAGAGAGAAATGTTCAAGGAGACGATGGCGAGCTAATCAAGTAAGTCTTCAAGTCGGTTTCTTGGTTTTTAGGTGCCCAAAGAAATGAAGAGAGGTGTTATCTAAGCTGAGAGTTGAATTTGGGTTTTTTTAGATTCAATTTCTCCGAAGCCGCCGTCCTTCTTCAAAGTTCCTTCCAATTGTTTGCCAAGAAAGTCGATCGACTTTATGATTTAGTCTGTGAAGCTTACAGTGGAGCTGGCATCAAGAAAAAGGGGAAAAGAGGGATCAATGCAGAGAATAATGAGGAGACAGATCTCTCTCGGCGGAAGAACGACTTCGATATGAAAGTTGATGAAAATGCTCTGATTCACAATTCCATAGACCTCAAATGGCTGTTAGATCAGGACAAACGAAAGGAAAACAAAGTTCCTGTCAAGGTTGGGCAGCTTCGTGTTGAGGGAGAGCGTGATCGACTGGTCGATTTGCCAATTTCTTTCATGCCAACGAAAAAGACAGCGCCTTCCAAGCATTATTTGGGCTTTGAACAGGCCAATGACCACATTTTTATCCGACAAGATGAGCTTTTTGCGTTTTCGAGTGTGGCTTTTGCTTCCGAACATGCTCAGAAGGTATGGATAATATTTTTTTAGTTTTTTATCAAAATTTATTTGATTTGGCGAAAATTATATTGTTTTAGATGACAGTCCTCATGAATGTGGCCTACTTGCCTTTGATCGATCAAATAACCGAGAATTTGGAACCCTTCAGGAACCTGTATGGTACGTTTGTTTTTATTTTACATTATTCTTAACTTTAGGCGAAAATGGAGAGACTAATTTGGATGATATCCCCGAACAGGATTCTCAATTCCAAAATGAATCGAACGATGATCTCGGAGGGGCTGGTGGCTTTGAGCCAGAGCAAATTCAGCTCGATGAAGAGGCCCCAATGGACAGTAAGTGGTTTTAAGTTTTTGATTAGTTTGTTCTTGCTTTAGTACTGCCTCCGGAGAACTTGGCCGATACTGTGGAAGGGGTTCGCAGAGCCACGGATGTCCGAGCCACTCTTTTGACTCAACCGCCAACTGTCATCGCGGATTCATCACTGCCGTGCGACTCGCAATTGGACAGTAATGAATCGAGAAGAAGTCAGAGGGTTGTGAAGAAATGGAGGGACCGAATTGAGCTGATCGATGAGTTTGAACCGCTAGAGGTGAAGAGAAAGCCGTTGAAAATCAGCAAGACTCATATAAAACGGGGAGATCAGCAAGTGGCAAAGAGGGATAAGCTGATAAAAGTAAGTCTGGGTATTTGAGAGTATGAAATTTAGTTTTGGATAAAAAATTATGCACGTTTAGCTTGTATTTGACTATAATTAGGTATGACTTATATTACACATGACTAATTTTACGTTTTTTTAGGAGAAATTGGAAGAACAAGGGCTTAAAGAGCAAGAAAATAGGCTTGGAAGTTACATGACAGCCCGTGTGTTTAGCCGGAAGCTGACACGGACAGGATCTGTTCTAGCCAATCTGAATCCATCATTAAGATCAAAACAGATTCAAGCACTCAATTCTGTGCTGTATGCCCAAGAAAAGTATGAAGCCAAGGTTTTAAAACAGCGAAAAGAAGAGGAGAAACAGCGGAGGAGAGAAGCCCAAGCAGAGGAGAGGGAAAAAAGAAGATCTAATAGAAGGTCCGGCCATAATGAAAGTGGAAATGTTGGAGCTTTACAACGAGTCAGAAACTCGTTGTTTAATGGAACTGGAGGTGAGTTAGAGCTTTATATTGATTTTTAGGTTGTTTGTTAAGAAAATTTTGTGGGTTTGGGCAAAATTTTGTATTACACATGATCATTTTCAAAAAAAGTCGTTTCAGAACACCCAGTGGATAACTTTGGCGCCCTCCCTGATGATGATGTGCCCGTTGGCGAAGAGAGCGATGAGGAAGAACCTCAAACTGCTGCTGAACTTTTGGCACAAGAGGTGGATGATCTGGCCGGGCATGATTATGTTGATGACGATCCGGCTGACGAAATGGACATTGATCTCCCGGAGACTCAAGATGATCACGCCATGCCGGTTGGAGATCTGAGCAGGCCCAATATGGAGGAACTCGCTGAATTTAATGAGTGTGCTACGGAAATGGAAGAAGAATACGCTCTTTTCGTGAAAGAACACCCCATTCTGGATCAATTGTTCGAGGATATGAATAATGGACCCCAAACTCAGATCTTCAAAAGCATTTTTAGGTAAGTTGGAGCTTATTTTGGTTTGGTTTTTGAGTTTTAGACCTAAAATTAGGCATGTGTAACATCATGGGTAACATAATTTTTTCCAGCTATTGGAACAAGACCGATTCGGGCAAAATCAACAACAAAGGGAAGCGTCAGATCCAAGAATGGAACCAAAGAATTGCCAATCGATTGGCCGAAGAGGAACAACATAAACCGTTTGATATTCATTCGTATGGAACTGATGTAATCGCGGCCTTTGGGGAAGGAGAATCAAGTGTTGGCACGTCCAAAACTCTCCCAGAAGTGATGCGAGGCTCTGGTCGATACGAAAAGAGTCGGTTCCTCCTGGCCACGCTCATCCTGGCCAATTGTAACAACGTGGAAATCAGCGCGGTCCCCCCAAAAGAAGGAGAAAAGCCCACAAATAATGTCACACTGAAGTTGTTGAGCCGAAAACGCCATCACGAGGTCTTTGCCGACGAACAGAAGCTAATTACTGGATAAACCTTCGCTTCAAAAATAAAAAAATTATATATAATGTATGTAGTTGTAATGCATGTACAAGCTCGTGTCTTAACTTCATAACGTTCCTCTTTTGATTCAAAATCTCATGTCTCAAGAATTGAGGTCTCAAATTGATTGTTTATATCGTTTTTCGAATGTAACGGATAAAAAAGACGTTAATAAATACCCGTAGTCAATTTTTCGATTAAAGATGAGGAGAGGATAATGTTTGAGTGTGGAATTAAGTAGTTTTGTGCATGATACTGACCTGGAGATCAAGTACTTTGAGAGGAAAATAAGATTGTAATCAAATGAATTTAGAAAAAATATTGTTTTTGGTGGAAACAGATAGATTTTTGAAAAAAGATGCAAGTTGAAAGCTATGTTAAGGCTATCCGAAATTTATAGGCGATGTAAACAGCAAATATCCCCAGAATCGGCAGTCCTATCCGGTCAACCATCACACAAACTCGATCAAATAAACTGGATCCACGAGTTGGAACATAGGTTTGAAGGAATTGATCGAATTGAGCCTAAAAGATAGAGATTTGGAGGTCTAAACAACATACCCAGTCATCCATTGTTCGCAGAATATTCATCACATGTCGATGAGTAAAGGACAATATAAGCTGGGAGTTATGATCCGCCATATAACTTTTACTCGCATGTTTGAAGTAGAAATTCAAGTAGATCCGACCGAAAGAAGTTATGGCTATGACCATCAACGCGCGGGCTTTGAAGGTATCGCGAGTTCCTTGGTCGTAAAATGCTTGTAATTGGTTTATTATCTAAAATTTGGACATTATCCTAGATAAGATCTTGCTTGAAAATTGAATACATTGAAGACAACCAGTTTCCAATCTCTAAAAACCAAGAAGTAATAATCAAAACACACTCACCTCCACATACGAGATGTAATCCAACTGATCATCCAATGCTAATATTGCACCCTCTAAATTGGCACTATTCTGAGCTTGATAGTCTAATATCAAAGTCTCGAATTTCTTCCAACTAAAGTCCCCCTGGATGTCAGGTTCGTCTACAAACTCCAAATAGTCATCGTACTTTTGCCGGTCGTGCAATAATGACCGGAGAAATGAGCAAAGTTCCGATTCTCGACGTTCGATTTGTGTTATCGGCTCATCCATAAGGTAACCAACCTAAATTATGGAAAAAATCATTTTGAATCTGCAAAATTTAGCTCGCGGATATTCATTACGCGATAAAAAATAAAGCCGGAGAAAACGAAAGCCCTTTCTAAACGCCTCGAGGCCGTGGTTCCATGGTGTAGCGGTTAGCACTCAGGACTTTGAATCCTGCGACCCGAGTTCGAATCTCGGTGGGACCTAAGCCACAAATTTTTTGAATTTTTGCAAAAGGCCACATCAAATATTAGATACAACAATTCAGAAGATTATTTTTGTGCTAAATCGACCAGTCGATAACGGTTATACCGTCATTATTCACCGTTATAGCCAAGAGCCAGATCGGCAGGCTGCGCCCTAACTCCGCAGTTCGCCCTTCCTTCGTCTTTCTTTTTTGTTTTCTCTCTCGGCTGTCGAAAAAACAACAATGTTTCGCTCTTTTTGCATTTGCGAACGACACTTTCTCTCGCAGTCTCGCGTCTCGTACAAAAGCACGTTGACTTTCGTGTTTCTCGCGCCATTTCCCTACCCAAGCGCTTTTTCGCGTGCTTTTTCCAGGGTCGGCGTTGAAATTGTTCGTGGGCTGTGCTTGGCATCCACTCAGGGTCGTTGGCTGTTTTCGTGGCGGGTTGCGTTCTTCTAAAGTGCAAGGAGAATTCTGTAAATCAGGCATTCGTGGTGGGAAGGATTGGGATGGTGAAGTTTTTTGTGTGGATTTAGGAGAATTTGAACGGAGTTTTGAGTAGGATAAGATGGAAAAACAGTTCAGAGGGGATTAGCGAGAAAATTGCATCATAGACTCGTTTCTTCAAGCAGTAATTACACAATTCCCCCATTTGCATCATGTACAATATATTGCACTAGGTGAAGAGGTGCCTGAAATTTTATAAATCGCGAAAAATATTGCTATAGAATCTCGTACAACATCGGTCGTGCATGTTGCCACAAATTTAAACAAAAATTTTATTACAATTTTTTCAGGACAGCGCTGCCTACTGCAATGTCCGAAGCCCAAGTCGAACAAGAACCCGAAAACTCATCAGAATTGGGACCACAAAGAACTGAACAGTCGATTCATCATGATCAACAACATACTAGTAAGTCAGACCAGACTTTTGTTTTTGCTTTTGTTTTTAGTACGAGATATCACTGAAGATAAAAGCAGTATGTCTATTTTAATAAAGCCAGCGACTAAACTGACTGATTTCAGCTGAAATTGTCGAAGGAGAAGAGGGCCATCTCCTTGAGTTGACAGACAATGATACGGTAGGCCATACTATGTCTTATTCATGAATAAAATTTCAATTTTTAGCTTGCTGATGATGAGATGTACGAAGAGATTGTTGGAGAGGTGGCACAAGGCGAGAACGGAGAATTCTACTTGGTAACCGACAACAATGCGCCCGATGTTGATATCGAAGGAGTCAGCAAAATTCAAGTGGTTGTGAATGAGAATGGAACCGAAACCGTCATCTTCCAAAACGACGGAGCCGCCGAAGTGCAGCCAGACGCTCAGAAGATGAATAACGATCCGTATGAAAATGATTTCGATATGGTTGAAGAGCATCCGGATATGTACATGATGAATCAAATGGACAGTTATAATAAGGGAAGGAGGAATCGGGTTTATGGACAGGCAAGATGCCCCGAATGTGGCCAGACGTTTATTAATACAGCCAGATTGGAGAGACATTTGAGTGTTCATCAGGTGAGAGGAAAATTTGATGATGGAGAATATAAAAATTTTGATATTTTGGTGTAAAAGGGTTTAAAATCTCCTCTGTGGGGTCTAAAATCATCAAGGCTACTATTTGAGCCATAAAAAACTGCTTTCTTTTACTTTTTTATGTTATACTTGACACCAGATGACTAAAATTTTTATTTTTTTTGCCAGTTTAGCCCCATTTCTTAATGATTTTTAATTTCTTTCAGATTTTCGGCGCCTTCCTCTGTCAACTCTGCGGAAAGACCTACAAATACGAGTACAATCTGTTCTACCATTGGCGCAAAACTTGCCGAGATCTCCTCGAACTTCTTCCCGACGAAACCCGCAAAAGTATGGACGTAAATACCCTGAGGGAAGTTGTCGAAAATGTCGCATCTAAAAAGGCTGATGTTGGCTCAATAGAATTTGGAATATCCAGTCAGCCGTTGCTTCGAAATTTGGGTCTAAACCCTCCAATGGAAGCCCGAGCTCATATGTATGGGAAAAGAGGGGTGATGTGCAAAGGATGCGGGGTTACGGTGTTGGCCGCACATTTGCCAAGGCATTTTGCCGCTCATAGAGGTCAAGTCGATGTGGAGGAGCCATCGGTAAGCTTTTTTGAGACAAAACTTTTTGATTGATATCAAGTGTGATATAATTTTTGATGAAAACTCCTGATTTTGATACTGTTTCAGGTCGGAGGAGGCCATTTCTGTGATCTGTGTGGTCTAATCTTCCGTCATCGCGACAATTTGTTCAAACATTGGCGTGCCAATTGCCCGGAAATCCAGGCGAATCTTCCGGACGACAACGACATCCAAATGGACGATCAAGATCTCAAGGCAATGGTCGTGGATATCCTCAAGAAATTCTTCGTTCACGGCGCAGATCAGGCCCAATCCAATGATTTGCATCTGGATCCACCGCCGATTCAGAAAACCGAAGATCGAGCGAGGGTTTTGGACAGCCTAACAGCTGATTTGAATGTGGATTTGAGTGGGAACCCGTTGACGGAGGAGGCGGAAATCTTGGAGGAGGAGGAAAATCAGGACTCCAAGAGTAATTTGTTCGATCAGAAGTGGATTGAGGATCATGTGAGTTGAGGTTGGGGGTTCGGAAATGTCATGGGTAATATAAATTTTTGCGAAAAATAGTGTAATGCTTGATTATTTAAACGCGCAGAGTTAAATGAAGCGTATTTTAACAGCTAGGGTTGTCTTTTTTTATTAAATTTAACGGATTTTTAACCTCAAATTATAAAATTTTTGTCATGGGTAATATAAATTTTTTGTTGGTATTGCAAAATCTATGCGTCAGTTCTAGCTCCCCGTTTCGTATTTTACAAACAATATTTATGCTGTTTTATTTTTTGATATGTTTTTTTATCTGACATACAAAAAAAATTTTTTTTTGATCCAAGTACAACATAAATTTTTAGGGAATTGTCTTCGCCGATGACCTCAACGACACCCAAATGCGTTCTCAACGCCTTTTCAGCTCTCTAACCCAACCGAAATGGTCGATTAACGGAGATATGGTCCAATGTCCGGAGTGTTTCAAGTAAATTTTTTGGATTTTTGGCCAATTTGGATGAGATTTTTTGTAAAAGTCGATAATTTTTAGAACATTTATGAATATCGGCCGCTTGGAGCGTCACATGGCCGGCTATCACGCCTCGAACGGCAGTCATCACTGTGTTTTGTGCGGGAATCGCTTCAAATACGACTACAATTTACTGTATCATTACCGTCGAAGCTGCGGTTACACGAAGGCGTTCATCGACCGCGATGTCAGAGAGCAAATTGACTCGACCTCGCTGCGGAAATTGGTTCGAAATCTGGCCCAACGACAGCCAATGTTGCCGCCGGCGGTCAGCGAACAGAACACTCAGCTGCAGACGGACTCGTTGATCCACAAGGAAATGCTGGCTGGATTGATGGTCAACTCCGAGAATGTGGAGAACCAGGAACCCGATGGGAGTGGAGCGAAACCACCGGTCACAAGAATTGCACCGCATAATTTCCAACCCCAACGAACCGGATTACCTCATGGATATAAGTAAGCCATGGATAAGATTGGTGTGTGGCGGGGTGGAATTTGCATTTAGTAGACGGAAAATGATGGAGATTTATTGTGTAGGGTCTGGAGAGTATTTTGAGGTCGTTTTTATGGCATTTGGAGGAAATTTTTATATTGTAGTAGGTAAAATTTTGAAACTTGAAAGGGTTATATCTTGGTGGGGTTTGCAAATTTTGGTGTGAGATTTTCTGAATGGTATTAGAAGAGTGTGTTGTTTATTTCCTGAAAATTTTAGAAAAAATTATTAGCATTTTTATGTTACACTTGATGACTTAGGTGGTCATGTACAACATAATTAAAAATTTTTTTTTGATTTCTTGATCATTTGGCTCTTTTTTTATTTGACATAAATGATAATGCGATTATTTTTCAGATGTCCCCACTGTCAAGTTGTTTTCTATGGCCGCACCGCCATCTCCCTTCACATGAGGATGCGTCACAACGAAGAATTCGTCGATAAGGACGCCGCAGAAGCCGAAAATCAAAATGATCTCAATAAGGACGAAGACAGCGACCGTCCCGGTCTCCGTCGCTCGGCTCGTCGGCCAGCGCAACGAGCCAAACCTGAAGAAATCGTCGAGGAAGTGATCTCTGACCCAACTCCCCCAACCCAACCGGAACAACCCCCTCAATTGGAGCCGGAACCCGAATCAGAACCTCCCCCAGTCCCTGCAGTGCCTGGCAGAGTCCTGGATGGGCAAGGAAATGACATCACGAAGACTGAAATGGTCCAGGAAATGATCGCCTCCGGGCAGTTGCATGTTAATGATGGAGAAGATGTAATTCTGGTCATGGAAGAGGAGGGGCAGAACATTGATTATTATGAGAGGGTAAGAAATAGTCTAGAAACAAATTTTATATCGTATTTTTTGTTTTTAATAGTAATTTTTATATTATTTTATATTACAGTATGAAGAAATGGGCCCCTCAACTTCTCAATCCCTCCCTGTCCAACAGTATCCAACCAGCTCTCGAGTAACTCGATCCTCCAGAAGATATCAACAGTACGATCATGAAGAAGTCGTCTCTCAAGAGGGTCAGGAATATCACCACTCTGTTCATGTTACTCAAGAAGATCAACAACAGGCCGGATATGAGATTAGAACAATGCAGGTGGAAGAAGAGGAAGAGGAATGGCATTCTCCATCGATCCTCGGAAGAAGAGGGGAATCTGGAGGTAGAAAGAGAAAGGGTAAGGAGATGATTTTGGGAAGTTGGGGCAAGTGTAATATAATTTTTGTCTCAGATTGTGGTGTAAACTATTTTAAAGGGGTTGTTTTCTCTAGGTAAGGTAGAATTGACTTAAATATGGAGTTTTTTTGGTATCTGTTGGTCAAGTGTAATATAATTTTTGTCTCAGATTGTGATGTAAACTAATTTAGAGGTTGTATTTAGCCTAGGTAAGGTAGAATTGGCTTAAAATATGGAATTTTTTGGTATCTGTTGGTCAAGTGTAATATAATTTTTTTCTGGAAATTCTTTAAAATGCTTCTGGTGGTTGCTAGTATTTTTTCTGAGTTGTAGTAAGACATATTGCGAGACGATTTTTTGATTTGGTTAGTTTTTGACATTCTTTTATCTACTACAATATAATATTGATCATCCATTTTTATTTTTTTTTCAGCCGTTCAATCCGCCTCGCCTTCCAAACAACAGCGTCTTGATCCCGCCGCATACAGCCCCTCCGAATCACCCCGCCGGAGCCTTCGCCAGCGCACAGTCAGCCGTTCCAAACTGCCGGGCGAATAAAACAGCATCTCAAACCGTTTGTTAATCAATGCTTCCCTCAATAAATTTTCACTTTTTCACGTTCATACAATCATTTATTTACATTCCATAGCTAAAATATGTCGAGATCAATAGATACAAACAATACTTGATATTCGAATTGGAAAAGGCACTTTCAAATAAAAAAATGAGGAAGAAAACAGAGTCGTTGTCGCATTTGGTATGTGAAAAACGTATTTTAGAAGTCTTTGAGGACACCGAGATTGGATTGAGCACCGAAAAAGCGAGCTGAGGAGTGCAGAGACTAGAGATTTCCCGTATTTTCTGGACCAACATGACGATTCGGCCATGGAGAAGGTAATTTCTCCCGAATTCAGGTTGAATCGTCATCGAAGTTGATGTTTTCACACATCTACTGGCTGTGGGAACTTGTCTCGGTTCTTCTCCGCCACCTTCTTCAGCTTTCTCTGCCCCAAATGCGCGAATCGGACCATCAAAATCATGATCAAGATCAGGACGACGGGAACCAGGACGATCAACCAGAGGTTGCGGAGGATCCGCGCTTTGGTCTCGTCGATTGTGTTCATCAGCGAGAGCTCTGGTGGCGGTTGATAGAGGAATCGACTAGTTGTGGAGGCGTCTCGACCTCGGAGGTCAAAATTTGTGACTTCTACTTCAACTTCGCAGGGATGCAGGCCAGATAGGGGAATTTCGGCACTTGTGGACTTCTGAAAATCAAGTATATATAAGAATATAGATTATTTTTTTTTTTTGAAAATTCGAGTTTTAGTCATTTTTGGGCCAAAAATCATCAAAATGTGAGATTTTTTGAGTTGAAAGTGTCATATCTCGGCTGTTTCTGCATTACGCGACTTGAAATTCTCAGAGAAAGTGTCTAGTACCTAACTATGGGACTATTCCAAATTTCAGCAACATTGGGCCATCATTTTTTATATTATCTTACACTTGACCTATCAGATGGTCAAGTGCAATATTCTTAAAAAAAGTAAACCAAAATTTTCCTCAAACCCTCTAAAAGACTTACCGCTGTCAAATACAAGGTAGTTTCTCGAATCCCGCACTTGCTTCGATCACTGACCGGCAAATATCTCAGCTCGTACAGCAGAACATGTCTCTGTTCGGCGCTCGGTCTCCAAGATATCCTCGCAGTTCCATTCTCCACATTCAGCTGAATGTCCAGATCTTTCACCGGCTCTGGCTCACACTGCAGACTTCCCTGGCCAAAGATGTCAGCACAGGAGATGGTTTTGAACTCCGCATTTGCTGATTTCCTCAAGATTTCGGCGGTTTCCGGGGTCTCAGTTGGATTTGCGTTTGGCGGAATGGCCAGCAATTCCACGCTGTAATCGGTGTTGAAGGCGAGATTCGTCAACAAAATCCCTTCACTTTCGTCCATCTCGAAGTTGCGCGCGTAAATGTCCTTGGTTTTGTTGGCATATCTCAGCTGGAACGAGCAAGTTGGCGACAACAGATGATTATGATGACGATTGGACTTGGTTGGGTCGACGGCCGGACGTTTGAAGGAGATCACAGCACTCACATTGTCATCAGAGTTGTATTGAGGGGTGATTGTGAGCGGGGTTCCTAAAAATTTTCAATATTTTATATTACACTTGATGGTCAATATAATTTTTTGCTCAAATTTGAAATTTTTCAGTTTTAGTGGTCCGCTAAACCTGTTAACCCGTCATTAAACTCAAATTTCCTATTGTAATTAGGCACAGTTCCCACGTATAAACGCTGAGAACGAGAGCTGTGCACACAAAAACTAATTGTCTTTTGTCCGAGATTTCTCTTCCATTTTCATTGTCTTTCCCCCGTCTCCAACGAAATTCATTTGCAATTTTCGGCGAATTATTCAAATGACCCGTTCCGCGCCCAGTTTCTGGGAAAATTGGCCGAGTGCATTTCCATAAAATTAGGGAGGAAAGTTTGGGGCTAGGGCGCGAGCTGCGTAAAATTTGCAAGCCATTGATTTAAAAAAGTATTTTTATTACTTCTCGGTAACTCCCAAACAATATTTGATGTTCTTCCTACAGTATTACCCCTAATTTCACGCAAAGGTAGGGCGCGAGCTGCCAACTTCGAAATCGCGCAATTTCCGGATTTTTGCGAATTCAACCGGAAAAGCGCGCAGGGTGACCCTAATTTGGGATGCAGAATCCCAAATCCGGAACCGCTTACATGCTCATTGCGGCCGAAAAGGGACCGGGCTTATTACTCACGCTCGAGTTTACATAAGATTTGATTGCGCATGCAGAACGAGTGTGGTCTCAAACCTAAGAAGAGAAAATGTCAGAAATTATAGCGCAGTACAAGGTAAAATTTATAGCCCAATTTGGGTGCATATCACTACTATAAACTCGATTTTTAACCATCAATTATATTGGACTAGGTAATGTATAATCAAATCCTTACCAAAGGCTGTTGGAACGGTTCCAAGAGCTGGGACCTCAACCCAGTCGCTGGTAACACCAGCGCCCATCTTCCCATTCGCCGCAATTACTGTGGCCATAAACTTGTATTGGATTCCGGGCTGAATTGCTTCGGCTTTGAAGACAAGGTCGTGCTCGATCTAAAACAAAGAACTGTGTAAAAAATATCATTCAGATTGGACTTGAATATTTGGACAATCATTTTCTGGATCAGATACTTCCTTATTCCGCCATCTGATATCTAATATTATGCAAATAAATGCGAATAATTGGGATTACCCGCAGCGCCCTCTAATAAGCTGAAAGACCAGGACAAAATTAGCTGAAAGTCAACAATTGCGCAAGTGGGATAATTACAGGCTGAGTCAAGGTCACAAAAAATGGGTCAGGATCAATTTTACAGTAACAAATTTGGCTGTAACTTTCAAAAATGTTTAATTTTAAATTATCCATTACATCAAGTACCTTCAAATTTAATTGTGCTCAATTTTGTTCTAAAATAAGGTAAAAGTTTATTGAAATAGTCGAAATAGAAAGAAAAAAGTCCTAGAGACCAGAATAATTAATACCATTATGACATTTTATATCTATATTTACCGTAATCCCCTCTTTTATGCCTACCGATATTATCTTTGAAAATTGGTGTCGAAAATGTTAATCTCCCCAAAAATAAGTCTCCAAATTTCGAGTTATCCTTTCCTTATGTCAGAGTTAATCTTTTGCACTAGTAACCTCCAAATTTTCCTATGAAAATTTCAAAAATATTATACTTGAGCGATTTTACGCCAATAATTTCGCAACTCAAAAATTTCAAAAATTTGAATTTTAAACATTCCAAAAATGGCCTCTAAAAAACTTTTGAGGATTCAACTTACCGCCGCGGTGATCCATTTAGTCTCGTCGAAGCCGCCCTTAGGCATTGCGACCCGTTGTTTCCATTGAATTAGAACTTTGGCCGGCGCCAAAAATTCCAATTTCTTTGGCATTGCCGTCAAGGTGATCTCATACGAATCCATCAGCCCATTCTCTGGCACAGACGCCGCCGGCTTCGCGCATAATGCCCTGAGGGCATGAAGAGGCGATGGGTTTTGTTTCTTATCGGTTTTTTGATTCTCCATAACACTGTGCCAAAAGTTTTGGCCATCAGTGAAAGCGTCGGAAATGGATCGGCTCAGAATCGCTTTTTTGGCAGCCATCCGGGCATGGGAACAGCCAAGCTCACACTAAAATTGGGGATATTGGTTTAGTCATCATTTTTTTTGAATTGGGTTACGGTAACTTTATTAAAAAAAGTTTTTGTTAAAAATACAGTCACAAAGCAAGAATTGCCCCCTAAAAAGGTGAATTATAAAAATTTCACGGCTTTTTCGACCTGTTAGATATTGAAAATATAATTTTTAGCCTTTTCCAACATCGGATAGCCAAGTGTAATATACGCTTTGTAAAAGTAATCTTAAATGTTCATTCTTTTCAACTTACCATATTATAATTGCCACTGCTGATGTTGAAAAAGCTCCTTGATGACCCATCTAGCCTTCGTTTTACCGCGACTACTCCATACTGAAAAATTTTTTATTAATCTGCTATAAATTAGATTTTTATATATATTTTTTTGATTTTTATATCGCCGATGTCCTTATATCCCCGCTCATTACGTTGAGTGGATTAGCGGCGTTGTTTCAAAACAAAGGCTCAACGCTTCAAAAGGCCGAGAAAATTTTCTTTGGCGTTTTTTTGAGCGAACGCTTTATGAGAGCATGGATAATATAAAAAATGGCAAAAATCTTTAAATTTTTCATTAACTCATTCCAAAAAAATTTTTGTAAATTAATTTTCAGTTCGTTTTACGACATATTTTGTAATAATTTCATAGGAAATCACTTACTTTCTCCACACATTGTGCTTGACATTGTGCTAGCCGATAGTAATGTTCATAATCAATGTGAACATAAGGCAGGACTTGAAAAGAAATTGTTGTTGTTGTAAAAGTGAGGATGAGAAAAGGCAGTAGTGTACCCATTTTTGTAAATGGTCCAACCTAAAAATTTAAATTTTCAAATTTTCACAAAAAATTTAAAAATTTTAAAAAAATCGCGGAAAAAATCGGTAAAAGTAATGGAAAATGGTAAAATACGATTCATAAATCTTTTATGATTTTCAATATATGTAAATAGTCAAATTGATGACTAAAAGATTATTTAGGCATCAAAAATTTTAAAAAGCTCAAATTTTCGAAAAAATTTTAGATACAGAAAGATAACTTTATTAACTCCGAAATCCTTCTGGATTATTACACTATGAGCTTCTGGATTTACCTGGCATTAACCCCTTCTCCGTTTTTCGCCTCCCCGCGCCACTTTTTCCTAGGCTCCGCCCACTTTTTCCTAATGGATATTTTGGGCAAATAAAAAAAATAAAAAAATAATAGAAAAGGTTGTAAAAAGACATTGTAAATAATAGCCTCGCGCAAAAATAACAGTAAACGGTAAATATTTCTGCACAATAGGGGTAATGAATGAGGGATCTGGCATTGAATTGAGGTGCTATATTATACTGGAGGTAAAGAGGGAAAATATAAAAAATTGGGGACTTTTGAAAAGTGAATTGAAAATATTAAATGTAAAAACTTGCAAAACGAAATTTGAAGTATTTGGATCAAAAATTTCTCCACAAAATTTGAATATTCAAATTTTAGAACCCAAAAATTTAAATATTCAAATTTTAAATTTTGCATATTTTTTGCCAAAAATAACCAACCCACCTCTAAATCCCATTTTATAGTGAATTTCTATAATTGTCAACTAATCCCTCTAAATTCGAAGCTCCTAAAATAACTCAAGAAAATCTCGGAACACCACTCATGCACTTTTTGTTCAACCCAAGCTATTTAGGTAACCCACGCAACTCTTAGAATCTCTTAATTAATCCCAACATCTAGGTAAATGTCATATTTGACATAAATATCCGAAGGGTTCGGTCATCTTTTTTTGGAAGGGCAAAAAAATTCGAGGATTTGCAGAATGCAAAATTTTTAATTTTTGGTTTTAAAATACGCCGAATATTTCTGTGTTTTTTAAAATATGGCTCAAAATTTTATTAAAGATTTAAAATTTCATAAAAATGTTTAAAAAAACGGTTATGAGAAGAAAATATGCTATGATGACAAATAAAATTTATACTAAAAATAAGAAAAATTTTATTTTTCTGGCTCCAAAAATCTTCTGCCCTCCCAACAGAAGCGCACAAAACTTTCTCAACAAACTTTGTGCGGCAGAAAAAGTGGTTGCACAACAGCTCCCATGTCTAATATAAAGCTGGCTCCCAGAGAATCTGTTTGATTAATCCGCTGAAAATAACCCCCGGGATTTGCGTAATAAAGCCCCCTGAAACTGATATCCTTTGTGATTTAACCCAAAATACTCCACGGATTTCATGGCGAACGAAAATTTATATTATACTTGACATTAGAATTAAAAAATGTAAAAAATTATAAATTCCGGGGACAAAAACAGCTTTAATGGGAGAGACGGATAGCTCAATTAAAGAGTAATTAATTAACTACGCACAGAACCGATTTGAATGTAAATATTTGCGAGAAAACAATGTAATCGGCTTAAGAAGTTAATCGAAAACGTCGCGGATAATCAGTGCAATTACAGCCTCGGGGCGTCGTTACTGTTCCGAAACGGAAGGTGGGTCGATCAGCCATTCGACCGACGCTTAATTGGTAATTGAAACCCATTTGGAAGCGGTGGGGAAACGGAAGAAAAAGGGGACCATTTAAGGGGCTAAATCAAGGTAAAGAAGGGGCAAAATTCAGCGAAAAGAAGGCTAATTTCCGTTGCACGGGCAGTTGCTACAATGCCAGTTTAAATAAAAATTAAATTGAGAGTAAAATCAGCGAGTTTCATGAGGAAAGATCGTGAAATCTGAAAGATTTTCCTGAAAATCTTCAAAATTTTGCGATTTTTTCGATAAAAACTAAAGCTTTTCATGACTAGACTAACAATCGCGTGTCCGAGATAAATTCTAGAACATGTGGGAATTTGTGATTACATTTTAAAAAAGCAATGATAAACTAAGCCCACACTTGACGTAAATCCTCATGAATAATATAAATTTATGCCGGACGTTGCGAAAAAAACGACTGTCACATGGAAAATGCATGTTAATTGCATATTTTTATGAAGGATTCTGTAATTTCCGGAGAATTTAGACCCGTAGCGACAGTTAAAACACAATGCCAAAAATCGCGGGAATTTTGATTTTTGAATTTTTTATTAAATTTTGAAATGTTGGGAGCCGAAATGAACCTAGTGGGGTGTCTAGAAAAGCATTTTCAATCTCAAACTTGAAGACACGAGTTAATTACGACCTTATTTTAGTCATAACCAGCTACTCGAAGCCTGAAAATGACATTTTGCAGCTCTCAAAAACAAAATTTTCCGCCGATTTCCCCCTACATTTCTCTCCGGCCCTCTCTCTTCATTTGGCCAATTAGAGATCCCAAACCGGGCCCTTACAAAAGCTCTGTCCAACTATTTTTTTATTTTATCGCAATTCCAGGGCACTTCCGCGCCAACGCCGAGGACAAAGAAAACGAGTGTTATAACGAAAGAAATTATTCGCTGATCATAAATTTGCATTAATTAACTTGGAATAAAAATAAAAACACCGACATGGGATGGAAAGGTCAGGGGAAGAAAGCGCAAAAAAAGTGCTGGCCCGAGATTTCAGCGGCTGATAAAACTGGAATAGAAATAGGATAAGAATGAGATAATAAAAGGTGAATTTGGAATTTGGAGACACCGATGAGCGATGGGGACAAAAGAAAAATTTGAATTGGAGGTTTAGGTGAAGAAATGATGAGTTGAAAAACATAATTTTAAAATATAAAGATTTGTAAAATACGGTTGGTATTGATCAGTCATAAAAAATCATTATAAAAGTTTTGAAAAAGAAACTTTTATCAAAAATTTTATACAAAATTTTCTGCAAAAAACTAAATTTAAAATGCGAAGACTTTTCTCCTCATTCCCATAATCTCTTATGAGAAAAGATTGTTGAATATCTCGGCTATCTTTGCAAAGAATAAGCCAAAAACTTTCTGAATTGAAACACGGGCAAGGTAAATTATGAATCCCAAATTTGATGAATTTGCGAGCCACACACCTTGAGCATTAAAAGTTTCGTTTTTAGTCATCATTTTTGCTAAACTTTCCAAAAAAGTTGGCCAAAAAATTTTGGGATAATTTTTTAAGGGCTCTAATTTTCCCTGGCTAATTTTTGTTGTAAGAGGATTTCTGCGGCCTAAATTTATTGTCTAAAATACGACGATTTTTCTAAAAAATCAATTTCTTTTTTTTTAATCCAAAATCTCTTTCAAATGTCATCAGATCATAAAATCCCCCTCAAATTTAAAAACCTTCCGCCTTTACGATGTAATATCGCGCGGACTTTTTTTTGAGGGCTATGGCAATTTGAGAGGGGGCGACGGACAAATCAAATTCTTGCGGGAAGCGATTGTGGGTGCCGAGTAAACGAACCGAAACAATGTCCCGCCATTTAGACGGGGCGAAACAAGATTTGCAAAATATGGAAAACAAAGCTCGAAGAGATCTTCAGAGCTCTTTAAGGCGCTAACTTGGCAAGGTCAAGTGCCCGGAAATCAGGGAAAATAAGGGCCGAAGGAAGTACAGATGTCAGGGCGATCGAAGTCATACTTATGTTTGGCAAAACTTGCCTTGAAATTAGGTTATAATAAAAAGCGAATTTAAAAAAGTGAATGGGTCTTGATGAAGCTTGGACAAATTTAGATTTTTGAAAAAATATCTTGGCGCAAAGAATGACAGTAAAAAAGTCCTTATTATTTGAATTCTCTCGTCCGCAGTTTGAATATTTCGGCTGTCACTGCAACCCGTGAACTAAAATTTTCAGAGCTCAAAACTAGGCCTTTATTGAATGTCCTTGCAAAATTTTAAAAAGTTCTAGGCCCTCGAGCAACAAAAGATATTCGCCCCAACGTTAATGATATACCAAAAACTAACTAAAAACTCGTAATTTTCAAATTAAAATGCGTAATAAACTCCGCTGAAGGCAAAGAAATCACCCAGACTTTTAACGGAGATAAACACAGAAACGATTATTCAATTAAAAAGGACAAAAGTTATTCCAAAACGGTCGTTATTATATTAGTCTTGACCATTGTGGCCGGAAATAACCGGTTGCGCGAAAAAAGAAAATAAACGCCTTTTTATGGCAAACAATGATTTTCTTTCTACACGAATTTAAAAAATGGGATTTTTTGAAATTGAAAAAGTTAAAAATCGTTTCTGCATAACGCGAACTTAAATTTTGCATAGTGCTTACATTGACTGTAGGCTTAATCTGTGCCAAATATCGAGTAAATAGGACAAAATTGAGATTTCGTATGATCAAAACTGTCATATATTTGGCATTTCGAAATATTGAAGACTAATTTTTTTGATAAATTTCATAAAAACTGTTAACTTTTATTTGAGGTACCCTCGATTATTCAAAAACAAAATTAATCCCCTTAATCCCCAAAATATTCAAATTTTCGGCCCCAAACAACCCCCCGCTTTCCCTTCGATCAAATCAATGTCCAATAAAAAGGAACATCGCAAAAAACCGAAAGTTTCTCGGCCCTTGGCCCGAGCAGCTGTCCCCGAACATTAATTACAATGTAGATCCGACCTCTTTATCAGGTAGGTCCCATAAATCCCCTCAGGACAATGGGAAGAGGTCCAAGTTTGTGAAAAACACTAATTGGAACTAATTATGGGGAGATGAAAGACACCTCATCAAATGGGATTTTATGGACTTTCGGCGGGAAAAATTGATGATTTTTGAGATTCTTCAAGGGTAATAGGGGTCAATAGGAAGGAATTTGGGATTTTTAATTTAGAAGATCAAAATATTGCTTTAAAAAATTAAAGAAAAAATATTTTTTCGTCTCTTCGAAAAATGGAAAAAAATGCCTAAAGGCTTTTTAGGGTA